TTTTAAAGATTTAAGCATACATAGCGACGGACAGCGACAGTGACATTGTTTTATACTATGTAAGGATTCTGTTGGCAGCAGCTGGCCTTTACAGCTTCACCGAACGATATGGAACGAGTGCAGATGGCACTCCAAAGCCGCGAAGGGACTCAGGAGCGGCTGAAGGTCAACTCCCGCCTGACTGATATGACTTTAGTCTGAGGGGTTAAAACCTTGGCTCAGGCCGTCGTAATTTTGGTTACAAGCACAATATACAGTACCTGCTCTATCACCAGGGCCGCAGAATCGCGTTACAATTCTACCTCGACCCCGGCGGCAAGTCGAGATTTTGTTTGAAACTTTCTTGTTGTTAGCTTTTGGTTTATTACATAATATATTTACATCGGAAACAATGCTCAGAAGTTACTCGACCCTCCTGCGAAGTTGGTAATTTAATAAAAACATGTATAACAGTTTGAAATGTAATGTTCTGTAATTACTTTTTTTATTTTTTCACTTAACTGGAATGACAAATCTTTAATGAAGACAATAAATAAATTGCTTATTCTTTAAAAATAAATAATTCCATTTTTAAACGTGATATTCCATCTTTTCAAAAATTTATGATTGTTTTTTTTTTCTCTATTGGCTCCGGCGGTTTGTGTTGCCATTAGCCAAAGGATGATTGTTTTTATATTTCAAAATATATTCCATTTTTGAAAATATTTTGATATTCAGAGAAAAGATTAGGCGTACATTTTTGTATATATATATGCGATGGCAACCTTTTTTTTAGGCAGGAAATTGTTTATCAGTGGTCATCTTCCTGGCTGAAATGATGATGATGATGATGGTAATCTCATACAATCTGGCAGGTCGTCAGCTTATATGCTATTAGTCATAGTAATTTATTCATAATACAATTATATACTATATTCCCCTTAACCGTTGTGACGTTGGAAAATAGTGCATTTGAACAAATAATGTACAGTTTAGTTGTGCTGTAAAAAATACAGTTGAAATATTGAAAGAGCGAGTAAAGAGACTTTGCTATAGTGTCAGTGTAAGAGGGGCATTATATTATTATTGGAATATTATTAAATTACATATTTTAGCATTATAATTTTTTAATCTGTCATTTTATTACGATTACTATACATTTCCCAGGTTTTATTACGTTTTTCATTGCAGCTCCTATTTGTCGTAGTGCGATGATGCATATAACTTTCCTTGATAAATGGACTATCTAACACTAAAAGAATTATCAAAATCGGTCCGGTAATACCGAAGACTAGCCCAATAATACACACAAACGTTTTCCTCTTTAAAACGTTGATGTCGACCTAAGTCGGCAAGGTGCCTCTTAAACCTACACCCGGGTCACAAGTCCCGGGAGCTGCTCTGAGTGAGTGAATCCATGCTAAGAAGTTCATCTCTGAGTATTGATCCAAGATGGCGACCGAGTTTGAAAACTTTAAGTTTGAATAAAACCTCTTAACAACAACAATATATCTTCGCCGGTAGTCTAACAAGAGTTTATATCATAGACAATTTAAAAACACAATAAAAAACAGTAAATATATAAGTAATATACATATAAAACAGAAATACTGATAGTGTTATAAATTTGTGACTTCATGAAATAATGTAAAATGATTTTTTTATGTATTTTTTATTAATATTTTATTTCTTTTGTATGCTAGAAACAGCAACAATATTTTCATACAATTTCTACCATTGTACAATACTATATTGTAACAAATAAATAAATTATTATTAATGTTAATATGCGAGCAGCGCAGGACCGATCGTCGTGGAGATCTTTGGGGAGGCCTATGTCCAGCAGTGGACGTCTTCCGGGCTGCGATGATGATGATGATGATGAATGTTAATATTATTATAAACGCGAAAGTTAGTGAGTATTTTTAACAAAGATACTTCCACATTATTTCACGCAAAAACAACTGAACGGATTTTTGTGAAACTTTTCAATAATAGTAAAGCTTATGCATCAGAATAACATATAGGCTATATTTATATTTAAAATTATCGCGGGTGAAACCGCGGGCACAGCTAATATAACATAGAAACAAACAATCAAATAAATAGAGAAACAGTCATGATCAGAAACACAAATATTTCTTCTGTGCCGGAATCCAACCTGCGACCATGAGATGATCTACTCTCGTACCTACACCAGTAAAGCTATATAGAAATATTCAAATATTAATATGTTAATATAATACTAATAAATTTGTACATATATATTCAATTATTATATGAAAAAAATACGCATAAACTAATTACACTTGTATAAATAAAGCGAGCGGAAAAAAACAGTAGTGTATGAGAAATGTTATTATTGTTTGTATGATAAATTGACTTATACAATGTACATACAACATACGTATGTTCATACACGACTTATGAAAAAATAATAAAATTAACAATATATTCGCTATCAAACAGATATATAATAAAATCGTGAAACCGTATCTGTTATATTGTTGAAAAAACATATTAAAAACGTTTTACATTTTTGTTGCCAAGGTCGCAGAATCGTGTTTAAAATTTGTTAGTTTTATTGTTTACACTTTGTCCGGGTGTACATGTATCATACATATAAACCTTCCTCTTGAATCCCTCAATCTATTAAAAGTTTTAAAGATATAAGCATATATAAGGACGGACAGACAGCAACAGCGACTTTGTTTTACACTCCGCATGCCGCTTTACTTCCGATGCTCGCGGGTTCCTCGCGCGGTGCAAACATTTGTATTCATGAGTATGATTGTTTGAAAAAATATATATCTAAGTATTTATATCAGTTGTCTAATAACTATTACACAAGCTCTGCTTACAGTGGGACTAGATGGCGCTGTGTTAATTGTCCAGGGGTTATTTATTTATTTAATATACAAGGAAAACACTTTAAACTTTTTATCTCATACTTTAACTGAAACTGCTTAGAAGGCAAGCTGCCTAGCGGGTGAAGTACCTAGACAGAGAGACAAGTATGAGACGACTTTTTACATTGTACCTCGGTCTATCGTTTAAATTTAGTTTTTTACATATTTACCTTTTTATATTGACACTAGCTACTCGCCCTGGCTTCGCACGTGTGTACTTGTATTATATATATAAACCATCCCCTTTTTTTTTATTTTTTTTTTATTGGGTTGTTTGGGCTATTGTCAGATGTGTAGCACCTGTAGCACTGCGACCTACATAGATCTATTGTGCTCGCCCTTTTCAGAGTTCGCTACCTAGACCCGTCAGGGACAAGAATTGAAGGATATTCTTAGGAGCGATCGTTTTTATCTCCTCGGGAAAGAGTGTAAACTTTCCAAAGGAGATATTTCGTTTATGCATGAGTGGGCTACAACCACATAGGATGTGAAGCGGCGTTTCCTCTTCAGTTTGGCAGAATCTGCAGATACTTGTCGTGCATAGGCCTAGCTTAGCCATATGCTTGTTCAATTTGCAGTCATCATGCATATGTTGTTTTTACTCAATTGCAGTAATCTATTGGAGTATTTGGTCGAGAAGCCCGATATCAATAAACCATCCCCTTGAATCACTCTATTTATTAAAAAAAACCGCTTCAAAATCCGTTGCGTAGTTGTAAAGATTTAAGCATATATAAGGACGGACAGACAGCGACAGCGACTTTGTTTTATACTATGTAGTGATATATAAAAGAGATGTTGCAGTACTTTAATACTCGTAGTTAATCCTTTGTTTGCGATCGCAAACAGCCCTCTAATATACTTAAGAATAAACTTATGAAATTTGAAATTTGGAACGTCAGGCACCGTGTTCGGTGCCTGACGTTCCAAATCGATGTTATTTTTTATACATTTTTATACATTTTACACATTTCGATGTTATTTTATATACATTTTGCTCTCCTTCTAGAACATTCCGTGGCGCCATTATTAAAATCAACGTACAATACATTCAAAGTATGTTTTTTTTATTTCAATAATACAACAAAAGAAATACTGTAATATTCCTTCAGTAAACATCCTTTTTGTCATCTAAATGTACTATATCTTTTTTATTATGTTCAATAAAGATTTTATTAATAAATAAATAATAATATTGCCTTTTTAATATTCATATGTGTTTATCAATAGCTTGTTTATTAATACAATATGTATTTTTATTTACTCTACTTTCACGACAAATGTATTATTTTACTAAATACATTAAAAACAATAATGTACCTACTGATGTTTGTTACAATAATAAATCTTTTATAAATACAGATAAGATAACAATCAGAGCAATGTTATGGCCACGAAAAAATGCTCTTTAATCAAGTTACCAATATAAAAAAATGTGTATACAAATGTATATTGTTATTATTTATACTAGTATTATGAACTACATGTTTAATAACTAGTTGCAACTTAAACTTAACTTTTAGGCTTAACTTTTTTTATCAAAATACATAAAATTTACAAAATAAAAGAGCCTCAGTTACCTCTTGTATAACATTAGCTATCTAGCAAGCTAAAGGTAGCTGGAAAGTGAAAGTCCCTTTAAAATCAGTCTTGACCTTTCGGAGATTGGCAAGAACAAATAGACAGACAGTTAATTTTCTTTTTATATAAGGACCTTATATATCTTTTAACAATCTTTCTCTGCGTAACTTATGGTTTACTGGTACATAATTCAGTAAGGTATTAAGTCCGCCATATGTACATGTATTTATGTGCCTTAAAGTTAAAGATAACTTTTTAATAAGAATTAATATTATAAATGCGAAAATTATGGATGTAAGTATGGATGTTTATTACTCTTTCACACAAAAACTACTGAACGGGTTTTGATAAAACTTTACAATAATATAGCTTTTATATCAGAATAACATCGCGTGCACAGCTAGTTTAGAAGAAAATCGTCCTCCACTGGTGCCCCGCCAGCGCATACCGTTAGCGCAGGCGGGGGCACCAATCCATTATCACCCATTAAAAAAAATGTAAAAGCTAACAGTTGCCGTATTCTACCACCAGATGGAGCCGGAAGACGTCTATGCTGAGGCTTTGGAGGGAAACCGCATCGATGACGTGATTGATGAACCGGCTCACTGCTACAGCTCCCCGTGCACCACGAATGGCGACTGTTGCCGTGGATTACTGTGTTTGGAGACAGGTAAAAATCATAATAATCTATACATATAAATAAAATTAGATTGAAATAACCGTTTTTTACTAACCGTTATTTAAGTATATCTATTAGTTGTCTAGTATCCATAACACAAAATTGCTTATCTTGGTATCTATGTAAATTGTTCTAGATTAAAGAAATAAATATTTTTGCCAACTATTTTTAAAGTAAAGCATTTTAGACTTAACTTGGACTAAATAGACATATTAATATGTATCTGTATAATATAAATTGTTCAACGTTAAAAAAATATTTCTTTCAAGGTTTTTTTTTATAGTAAAGTATTTTAGTCTAAATAATCGTGGTATATATTCAAATAAACAGAAAAATAACGTTCATAAATCGTAAAAATGTTCCACTCCCGTCTACAGTATTCCGCTGATTCCTTTTAGAGCTGTGTTTCTCAAACTTTGTAGTGCCATGGCCCACTGGTTGGTTTATTTTTAGGGGGCGTCCATAAATTACGTGAGGCGTTTTTTTGAATTTTCTGTACGTACTAGTTGGTCTATACTAGAACGTATAGATACAACTAGTTGTGTATGTATCTGCCGGCCACCGTTTAAGTACATTTCAATCAACCGTCACAATACAAGCATAAAGAGACATTATCGTTTCATTGAATTTAAAAGTTAATATAAAAGTCCACTATTCACAAGGCAAATGAAAATCAGCTTTAAAAAAGACAACACCCATCTAGCCGTTCTAAAATTCTTATGCCCCATACCCCTATATGTAACATACATAATTTATAATGTTAAAAAATAAAATTGTTTTAATAGGTAACACAAATAATAGGTTTTATGGAGAAATCACTAGTGATTTCCACTACTACTTGTTAATGAAATAGCAAGTAAGTTCAAAACATATAATGAAAAATGAAATTCACATTCTGTATAATTATAATTAAGAGTCCATTTTCGAATTCCCCCCAATTGGTGCTCTGTGGCTCCGGCTGTTCGCTGCTTGGACACTCATCCATTGGCCTATGTTTGTACTGGATAATACGCCAATTTACAAACGCGGGAGTATAGTTTGTACGAGTAAATAGGAAAATACCTATTATTTACATCTTCATCATCATTATCACATTCATCATCACCACTATCATCATCATCTGCTTTTTCCTTATCCTATTCTTATGGGATCGTCGTAACATGTTTTTATCTTTCATTCATCCCTGTTCTCAGTTAGCCCCACTTTGGGAAACACTGCTTCAGAGTAAAGAGCTATGTAAATTGAAGCTGTAATGGTGTCGTAAAAGCTGTAATATATTTCTTCGCAGTTTGCTACTTGTGGTTTATTGTAGTTTATTTTTAAACTGGAAATTTCAAGATTTTTTGACAGGCTCAGCGATCTAGCGCTTTAGAACACCACTTTACTTTCGATGGTTACATGTACGATTCCTCACACGGTATAAACATTTATATTCATTAGTATGATGTATGTGTAATGGATCGGTGGACTGTATGGGTGTCTAAATGATGAAAACACGTATAGAATATGATAGTAAAATATATTTAAATACAGTTGCGAACTATCCAAAAGACAATGAGTGAATAATAAGACATATCTAATAACATGACATATAAAAAAGAACTGTTCTAGAAATATTTAAATTTAAAAATAATATCAAAGGAGTTCGGTGGTCGGTTGCCAACAGTATATATCGGTCCGGATGTTTTCTATGATTGTGATTACAAAAAAAATATTTAAGTTTTTCTGTCAGTTGTCTCGTACCCATAACTCAAGTTCATTACATTGGGACTAGATGGCGTTGTGTAAATTGTCCAACTAAGCTAAACTTTGGAATTAAAAACATTTCGAATAAAAATTTGCTCGAGATCAAACAATAATTTCATGAAACAATTGCCAGGTACAATGGACAACACAGCTGCTGCTACTGAAACAGCTGAAATCGAGCAGCTGAATAAACTTTCTGTTACTATGTAACCAATTGACTTCATTCACAATACCATCAACTATCAAGTTTTCATTCCTCCCACAGACTGATGATCCGTGTTCTTATTGATTTGTTTTCTTTATTTGATTATGTCAAACAACATTTAGATATGTGTAGCTATATAACGACTACAAACTGCAGAAGAAATCTGTGATATTTTATTCATCTGCTTAAGCAGGAGTTCAAGAGTCTTTGTTTCATTATGTCAAACAAAATTTATACAAGAGTAGGTATATAACAACTATGTACTGATAGAAATAGGAGAATGTGGGAGTCAAAGAACGGACTAACTCAATGAAAATTCTTGGGTGCACGCTTTGGGTTTACCGATAAATGCAAAGAAAGAAAGAATTTATTGCCAACTGTTGCAGGTAAATGATACGATGTTGTTGGTCGAGACGATGTATATATACAGATGGTAATAAACTGACAATATGTACATAGAAATAATGATCTTATATACTAAATAACAATAGGAAAATGTAAGGTGGGGTGACACAGTTTAGACACAGCAGTGCTTAGTAGACAATATAGAATTTGTCTTACTAGACATTATTAAATGCAATTATTATTTTGATGGTAACTGTGTCCCATACCAACCTTTAATTATTAGCCATACATTTATTTATGTATAAATTATGGATAACCATGACAAAAATAAAATTTGATTTAACATTTTACCTGTCGTACATCAAGATACAAAATCTTATTTATAAAATGTTATTTCTGCATGAAGGTTAAATTATACGCCTCCGTAATAGTACGGGTTAGCAACCTTTACTAGAAATGTAACATAATATTCAAGCTCAAAGTACTCCGTAACATTATTATATTAGTCTTTACGGTCCGTAGCGTCCAATTGCAAAGGACACAAGGGATATAACAATATGAAACGACACTAATTGGTACCCGGCTAATGGCTCTCCCAATTGATTAAACGTTACTGGACCGAAAATTATATTTAGCCTCCTAAAGGAACAGTAATTTGTGGATAGACTAACTTCTGCTTTCATCTAGATGAATGGCGGTCCACCAAGCGTACTTCCAGAAACTTTTTGCCATGCATAACTACATTGTGGAATCGCCTTTCAGCTATAGTATTTAAGAAAGGAGCTTATTCCTTGGTCTTATTAAAAAAATGTTATACATAGATGACGTAATATTACGTGGAAATAATATTATGCTTTACAGTAAATGAAGCAGCGAGAATTTGCTGGTAGGCGATAAATTTGGTATAGTAATTAATGCAGACACGAAGGACGAGTAACCCTTCGTAATTGAGCAATTTGAAGGGTTAATTATGACAATGTTATCATCTTATTGGATTATTCCTTAGAGAATAATTTATCTACTTGGGTTTTATTAGTATGAGGTGCTCGAATATATTTCATGTAACTTGTATGCTAAGTTGATAACAAATCAAATTAATTCGAGAGATAGTAGAGTAGATTTGTTGTTTCAGACTCATCTGCTAGCTGTAGACAAATTTATCTATAGCACAAGGAAATGGAAATAATCTTTATTCTAATAACCATAATATTAGCACTTATGAACAACACGGAATCTCATCACAAAAAGAATGAGCAATAAATTTACATGTGGCTCTTCCAAATTAATGTTGTTCAGAATTACATTTTCATGTATTTCATGTAAATACAAACTGCTAAGTAGCAAAGTTGACTTAAATAAATAAGTTGCTACTTAAATAACAGAATAAATCAAATATATTATAATTTATTTACAGGTTTCAGATTTAAAACTTTGGGACCTAATACAGTTCCTTGAGGTACCTACGCGATAATTGAAAGGTGAAATAGGTCAATTTAAATTATAGAATATAATCTTTAATTCTAAAAAAAGTTTTTATTAATATTTAAAAGCGTAATATTTTACCAACTTTTAGCAGTAATAGAGGAAAGGTAAAGACTTTGTCAAACGCTTTCCCAAAGACTAATAATTTTGAATAAGCAAACAATCAGTAATGTATATTGTCTAGAGAGTAGGCTTCAAACATCTTATGATATGATATGACAGATTTCCAATAAGGATACTCCGATTTCTTTAGAATACGCAATACTAAAGGTACAAAAACGTAGAATAAAAGAGGAAAACGTATTTCAATATTTAGCTATTATTAGCTATGTTCCTATTATCTTATTATCCTGAGTAATTTTTTGACCTTATTCATTAATGTTTTTTTTTGTCGAAAAATTATATTTAAACATCTAATTTTAAAGTTTTCTAAGTTAACATTGGCATTGATTTATTATTATAATTGACTAAAAATGGTTAAAACAGATTACAAGAGACGGTGGACTCACTGTCCCCAGAGCGTTTCGATTCGATAACTACCGTTTAATTTTAACATTGCAATTTCTTGTTTCTAATAAAATTAAAAGGATTGGGACAAATAAATGTATTTATTATTATTATTTATTAATTAGCTATCACAAAGACGTAAGAAGATAGTTTAGAGGTGAACATTTTAAAAGAGGTACTGTAGAAGCGAATCATATAGAAAGTACACGCGCGACATACAAACTTTTTCTGCGTCTGTAAACAGTAATAATATCTGCGTCATCTAGGTCCAAGCTAAGCAGAGCTTGTAACAATGATAGAAGTACTGAAATACATTTTTTGTAAATATAGACGCAGAATATATAGAAAATATCGAAACCAATGTTTATATTGGTTTGGGTATTTTCTATGTACATAATTTCTATGATCATACTCATGAATTCAAATGTTTGCACCGACAAATCGAATCCGCGATCATCTGAAGAAAAGCAGTGTACTAAATCGCTAGACCACCGAGGTTTGATATGTTATCAGGGTGTCAAGAGTTATAGCCAGGTAGCGTGGCGTTCAATTAACGCCTTGCCAGGAAATGTTCAATATCCGCTTCGCGTGACAAATTCGTAGGTGGAAAGCTTATGACTTCATTTTGTAGGTTTACATTGAGTAATGTTTCCAATACAAAATATTTTTTATTTATTTATACTTTTCTTTTATTGGAGGTTTTAGGCTACTGTCAGGTGCGAAGACCTGTAACACTGCGACCTGCAAATTTCTATTGTGCTCGCCCTTTTTCAAAATTTGCTATCTAGACCTGTGAGAGGACTACATAGACGCGTTTGTGCTTATAGCGGACAGCCACAACTTATCATTCGGTGGGAGTAAGCTTTTTTACCATTCCAATTACATAAAAAAGTAGGCACTTTAGTTGGACTTTTTAATTCTACAAACAAGTAACTATGTTTTGCCTTTGAAGACTATGGTATGGTTTTCAGAAATGAGGATTATTAAGTCGAATATAGACAGTTTCAAAAGAGTTAGTGATTGCACTAATAAAAGCTTACGTAACAATAACAAACTGATTTTACCTAAATGTCGTTTGACTAAAGTTAGTAATTCGTTTTATGGCAATTGCGTAAGGTTTTACAATAAAATACCAGAGTCTGTTATAAATCTGCCAGAAAAAAGATTTAAATGTCAAATAAAACACTTCCTTTGCAAAAAAGCTTACTATAAAATTGAAGAATTCGTTAACGATAATAATGTTATTGTAGAAAATACTTAAACTTTATTGCGCTGACAATATTATTTGGTTTTTCTATGTTGATTATCGCATGCCTCTTACTTGTTACAATGTAATTATTATATAAAAAAAACATCTATTAAAAAGAGCAACACACAAATTTCTTGCTCATTCTTCTTGTGATGAATCTGCATTCCGAATGAGTGGTAGAATCAAAATATGACTATTCAAAAGTGCTTGTAATGAGTTTATTTGAATAAAGTTTATTTCTATTTCGAAATATATATAAATAGAAATCAGTAAGTCACAAAGTAGAAGAGAAAACGCCACATCACATCCTATATAGTTGTAGCCCACTCATGCATAAACGAAATATCTCGTTGGAAAGTACACACTATATCCCGAGGATATCAAAATCGTAAATCTTGGGATATCCTGCAATTTTGGTACCTGACGAGCTTAGGCAGCTAATTCTAAAAAAGTGCGAGCACAATAGATCTTTGTAGGTCGTAACGCTACAAGTCTAAGCACCAAAATCTTTGATAAAACAAAGTCAGAAAGTCCATTATCAAGGAAAGAAGTTACCGTTTAATAAAAAGTTACAGATTGTGTTTTCTTAACAAAAATAAGACTGTCACGTACTTGGGTGACAATAAAACAAATATAAACCACGAGAAGCTATTAGGAAATCTCACGTACAAACTTTAGTGTGTGCGGGAGAAATTATTTTATTTTCACACTTGGGCTGGATAATAAACTTATTTTATTTAGGTCAAAGTAATCTTTCTTTATATAATGAAAGAATGTGAAACTGCTTTCTTATACTACGATGGTGGCAAACAAGCATACGGCCCAACTTATACTTCAATAGCTGAACCGACAGTCATTGTCCTGTCTTATTAACAAAAATTAGTAAATAAAAAGATAACAACTTAACCTAACAACCAATACAATTGTAAATGGGTCTACTCTTAGGAATGAAAAAAATATATCTTTAAATTTCAACTAACATATTTTTTAATTTAAAAAATATTTAAAATAACATATTTTAAAATTTTTATCTGTCTGTCTGTTTGTTCCGGCTAATCTCTGAAATGTCTGACCCGATTTTGACGGGAGTTTTATTGGCAGGTAGCTAATGTAATATTATTTATTTTAGACAATAAAGTTAAATTTGACGCGGACTAAGTCGCGGGTACTGCTAGTACAAAATAAACAGCGTTCTGCTAATATTTGTGGTAAGAGTACACAAGGCAACGATATTACAGATGGCGTTCGCCACTTTTGATGTAAATTGGACGTAAAGGAAACTGTCTTGGGTGCAATAAACTTGATGAATTTCCCTTGTTCCCGCTGTTGTTGAAGATAACGTCTGGAAGCATTTTCTCTTAAATCATTCTTGTCTTTTGCTACATGCTTACCATGTTCCTAAAATTTATGTACAGAATTTTAAGGATAATATTGAGATTTATTATAAACTAGATACTCGCCCCGGCTTCGTACGAGTGTACGCCCTGGATAATTTACACAGTGCCGTCTAGTCCCGAGCTAAGTAAAGTTTATATTAGGAGTGATAGAAATATTTAGACTTTAAAGAGCTTGTGTTATGGGTACTAGAGAACTGGTACTAATATAAACAAGGGATGGACAACCCTTATCACTTAGGGGTATTATAAATACGTAGTAGCAGATTCTCAGACCTACTGAATATGCATATAGAAACTAACATTGTGACACGAGAATTTTATATATAAGACTAGCGACCCGCCCCGGCGTATCACGGGTATTATATTATATTTTACCTTATTACCTTCCTCTAGAATCACTCTATCTATTCAAAAATATAGCTTCTTGCGTAGTTTTAAAAATTTAAGTACACATAAGGACAGACAGCAGCAGTGACTTTTTTATATACTATGTAATGATATTGCAATAAAACCAATACAAAATTTTAAATATCCTAACATAACATACTAGCTAAAACTGAACCTAAATCAATTGCTCATTCTTATTGTGATGAGTCTGCGTTCCGAATGAGTGATAGAATTTAAATTCAAAACTGCTTATATTAAGTTTATTTGAATAAAGATTTATCTCTATTAATATATTCTATAGATAGAACTATCCATAGATCACAGAAGAGTCTGAAAGAACAAACCCACCACTTATCTCCCAAATTAATTTAATTTTTTTTTATACTACGATGGTGGAAATCACGCATACGGCCCATCTGATGGTAAATGGTTACCGTAGTCTATGAACGCCTGAAACACCAGGGGTATCACATGTGTGTTGCCGACCCTTAAGAAACCTTAACCTCTCGTAGGAAAACCTCGGCAGGAAGTTCACTCCACAATCTAAGTGTACGTGTATTGTTATCAATTTATCAGTTTATTTCTATTTCTTCTGTTTCATAATTATTTCTATTTCTATTTCTTTTGTCATCAGATGATGGAGGTCGTTGTCTGCCGGCGTTTGCTGGGAGGAAGCTCGGCGAAATATGTAATAGGGAGAATCAATGCGATGCTGGACTAGTCTGCGAGGAAGTGGTACCAGGTATGTATGAAGTAACCATTTTTGTGTGTGATAATAGAATATTATAGGCAACTGCGCTAATGGTCCAAATCTAATTTTGCAGCCCGATAGTAGTATAATTCGATTCTCATGAGTCATATTGCTTTTGCAATAGCATATGCCGGTGGTCACTTTATTCTCCCAAATTTAAATTTAAATGAATTTGTATTATTGTAAACATGTACAAAATTTATTTGAAAAAAATACGATCTGAGTTTCTTGTCAATTTTTCTCATCACGAAATCATTCCGAACTGACGGTAGATTTGACATATCATACTCGTAAGAGTCTGTAATAGACCTACATGAATAAAGATATTTTTAATTTTAATTGAATTTGAACATATATTATAAATATTATTATAATATATGTTCAAATTCAATTCAAATTTAAAATATCTTTATAAAATCAATCAAATAAATCAAATATATGGTATACATATATAGTATAATTAATATAAATTAAATAAATATACATTACTAAGTAATATAAATAGTATACATATATTTCAAGTAAAAATAGGAAATAAAATGAATTGTTCTAAGTAATTGGTAATCTATATCATATTATAACGTGATGTCCATCATGCAGTTCATGTTAATAGGCGACGGTAATAGATTACCATCAGGTGGGCCGTAAGCTTGTTTGCCATTCGAATGACATAAAGAAATCACTACAAAATTTTATAAATTACAAATTATTCTAATAAATAAGAATTCGTAAACGAAAATAAAAGTTCTTTACAAAGCATAAAAGAAACTTATAGGGAAATTTTGCTTTCGTAAAACATAAATTGTTTATTCACTCTCGATTCGTCTGAAGAAATCTTATGAAACATAAAAGAAAGGCGTAGGCGTCCGCTGAAGTATTTCGCGATATTGTATTTGTATAAGAATATTTAATTTTCAAAGAGCACAAAAGTTCAGGGCTGTTGAAATAGAAAATTTCAATCTGTCTGCGCGAACTACAAAGTTTCATCAAAATCAATGTTTAAACCCGTTGGTTCTCGGTTGGTAACGTGGACTAATGACGCCATTGCAAGCAATGTAAAAAAACACATCAAAATCGGATCTTTAGTTTAGGATCTACAAAGCCACGACACGTCTAAGTCATTATTTCTGTTGTTTTATATATTCCTAGCTACTAATGGACCATATTATAAATATGTAGCTTATAGACTAACATACATATAAAATAATAATGTAAATAGTCTCTGTGGTCACGGCACTGACGACGGCAATCTGCCACGACAGCGCCGATACACCACACCCTTCGGCCAGTAGTCCTCCTTCATGAAGGTGGGCAGCATGTTGGTTGGGACCCGGGCTACAAACGGCATGAAACTTGTATTGTGACTCAACTCCATCTGCGTCACCCTCAATGTCAGGTTCCTTCTGGTCCGTATGTAATCGACAATGTGAGGTTCCTCCTGGTCCGTATGAAGTCGTTAATGTCCTGTTCCTTGGTGGCTTAGTGTAGGCAGGATAGGTACAATGCCCCAGTCGGTGTTGTTTCTTCTTTTTCATTTCTTTCAGCATATATATATTAGGCCACTGCTGAAAATATGCCTCTTGCATAATTTTCCACATTGTTCGATCTGTGGCGCATCTTGCCTGCTGTCAGGTCCGACCTGGACAGATACACGGATTCCTAATGGCATCAGACCATCTGGCAGTTGGTTTTGAATAGAATAGAAAATAATTTATACAAACAAATTTCCATTGAAGCACTTTTGAATAGTCAAATAAATAACTATGGTTGGGCTACGCTTCTGCTTCCCATTCTAGGTCACCACATTAGGAATCGCTGATTGAATTGATTTGCTTGCAGGTGAGATGCACGTGTGCCGTCCACCGTCAGCTGGCCACAAACAGTACAACGACGACTGCAACTCGTCCAGCGAATGCGACATCACTCGTGGACTCTGCTGCATCATGCAGCGCCGGCACCGACAGAAGCCAAGGAAGGTAATTAACGAATGAGCAGTTACTTAAAAAAAAATTGTTAAGTTACAAGGCAGCAGGCCGGATCATGATCCTGTGAATTTTATCCTTAAGTTTAACATGTGAGTCACATCGTCGCCATAATCTTTCAATTAGATTGGCAACTCTATCATAAGGGGCCGACTCTATCAGCTCTCCAACTGTATCAGGAGGGGGGTTAATCACGTGATATTTTTTTAGCATTTTTTAATCTCCCCCTCTCCCTTGGTGAGACGTAGTGAGGTTTAGTGCAACATCCATCCCATAACATCACGTGTATTTTCAATGCTTACACAGAATCATAATTTTTTTAGAATATAACTAAATAGAGGTATAAATCTGAAATTAAGGACCATGATAAAAATGTCTACACTAGGTTGCAGGTTGTTTTTTTATTTTTACCATAAAAATAAATATACGCTATATCTTACCACGCTTCCCCTCCCTCTTGTGATATTGTCCAGATTTTTGTCAAATCCCTCCCCCCCTTTCAAGCCTCACGTGATTAAAGGACAATCCCTAAGCTGATATACAGAAAAACTTTAATAATTTTGTAAACGTACGCTAAAAGCTGGCAACACCGCAGTCGCTCGACGAGTGAATCATTTAATATTAATATGGAAGCCGCACGCTTACAGTTTAATAAGCGTGGGAGCTGAAAATCAGCGTTTGACTACTTCATTTTGTATTCATGATGTTGTAACAACTGTGAGGTAATAAATTGGGTGTAATGAACTAGAAATTCACGTTCTATATATAAATATCTTCACGACGTAATCGTGAATAAGGTATTCAGGGGCAGTATTATTAATAATTTTTTATATAACTTTTATAATATTAACACCCAGACCGATATAAATAATCATACTCATGAATACAAATGTTTGCATCTTACAAGGAATCGAACCCGCAACCATCGGAAGTAAAGCGGTGTGCGAAACCGAAACTACCGTCATTTCGTGGATAATTATTTTGTATTCTCGGTACTGTATTATTATGTACTTTCATCATATATTAAGAAAGTATATCATTTGTTTTCAGAGCTGCGGATATTTCAAGGAACCTTTGGTATGCATCGGCCCTGTCGCTACTGATCAGATTCGTGAGTTTGTACAACACACAGCCGGGGAGAAACGCGTTGGTGTCTACAGACTGCACTAAATGCATCCATTCTCCTTTACACAGTATTTAATGGACAGTTAAACCTCTTTTACATCATGTAAGTTAAACAATATAATAGTCCAGTGGGATTTTATTTGCACAGAGTAATATAGATTTATTTATGTATAGATCAACAAACAGAGAGTTATCAAAAATGTCGCAACATCTCTGTTGTTCATATTGTTATTTTCATTTATTATTAAAGTTTGTTAAAGTTTATTTTTACTTTAGGAAATGTTAACAATGTTAACATTATACAAAAATTTATTAACAATATGATTAATTTTTATTTATTTGAATATTATTAATATTTATTTATTTATATTATTATTAAAACATATAACTGTCCATTATAAACTGTGTGAAATGTCTTTAAAAGTCTTTTACTAATAAAAATATACGCAGACGTTAATACATAATATGTATGTTATTTTGATAAATAATACATAAATAACACATATATTTTTATTAGTAAAAGGTGATAGCAATTGAAAAAATGTTAATCGTTTCACTATTTATTTATTTTACTGAATAATTAATTAATTATAATATTTAATTAAAATATTGCGATTTAATATTGTTTCAGTAAACCAGTGATTTATTATTATTTTTTTTGGAATGTTCAACTATTGGTAGAACTATTAACATTTGTTCAATTGTAAAGGAAACTTTGAAATTACGTTAATTAAAATTAATAATCTCTGTTTATAATTATTAAATTGTGATATAGTTTATTATATTGTTTTTAAATTTTAATATATTTCTGTAATTATAGTTTTAACATGTTTATAGTTTTATTTTTACATATTATGTTGTTGATAAAATTAATTTATTTAATAATGATTTATTATTCATTTTTAATAACGTAATTTCGAAGAGCTATCGATAAAAAATGAACATATTGCTTTGAATAATGGTTGACCGATTAGCAAAAGCTTTTATTTGAAATTATTAAAGTTTAAAAAACACAAAAAATGTTATAAAATAGACAAATCAAGACATATCATTTCGATTTTAATTTTAAATTAAAATAATTACATGTGTAGTTTTTAGATTTAAACATAATTATAAATGAATGTTTAAAAAGTAATTCGTACTTATGAATGTTATTAAAATTAGTAATCGCTGCGAGAATAATCGCGTCTTATTAACATTAATGTATTTTAATGTTTAATCATTAAATTTAATAATAAATTATGATTAGATTTAAACATTAATTGTAATTAAGTCTTCAAAGATTGAAACAAATACATATCTTACTGGCTGAGGCATTTATAATTGTAGGGTTTAATAATATTGATGTTAAATTTATTATATTAAACTATATACTTAACATATCATACTTATAAGCTGCTCTTAAAGTAAGTGTAACATATCCTTTATTTTTCGCTTCCTTTTTCTATATAAACGTTAGGTAAAAATTTCGAATCAAACTATTCTAGGTGCCTAGGTAAAATACATATCACTATAATAATGTTATAGATTTTTTTTTAATAATATTAATTAACACTTTATAAAATAACACGGTTTTCTTAACACACTGTTGTATTTTTGAAATGAAATGAAAAAAAAAACTTTCGCCTAACTACTGTGATGCGTCTACATATTTTCTGAAGGTATACTCTATAATAGTAAAAAAAAATATTTTTCTGTCGAAATAAAATATTTCCAAATACTGTTAAAGATATCAAATATCTTCTTCGTACTCATTTTGTTTGTTGACGGTACACTTTTTGACATAATTATACTCGTATGAATCGTTACAGATTGGCCTAAGTTTTAGAATGGCTTTATAGAAATAGTATGCAAGTAATTCTATTAATAATTGTTAGTAATAAGACTCGTTGTACGTAGCGTGCAACTTGTGTATTAAACATTATTATGTGTTATATTATATAAATTGTCTGCAATGTAGTTATTATTTACTACCCCATTACATCATTTATTTATTTATTTATACACTTTATTGCACCAGAACAAAAAAATATATATGAATTAATCTTATATATAAAATTCTCGTGTCACAGTTTTCGTTCCCATACTCCTCCGAAACGGCTTGACCGATTCTCATGAAATTTTGTGAGCGTATTGAGTAGGTCTGAGAATCTGCCAACATCTATTTTTCATCCCCCTAAATGTTAGGGGTAGTCCACCCCTAAATTTTTTTTCCATAATAAAATTGCATTTCTTTTCCATAAAATGCTAGCATTACAAGAAATGTTTTTTTCTCTGAATATGCAAGTATAAATGAATAACATAACCATATTCAATTAACATTTTATTAAATAACAATAACCTAACAATTACAATAACAATGTCAGTAAAGTCTGCACCACGCACAGAACCAATTGGAGTAAGCCAGGAAGCAGACCACCTCCAATTCCTATCAGGACCTCTTCAGCTATGTCTGTGATGGAAGATATGAGGGTTGTCAGCAATCCTTGGATGTTCACGATGCCTGTAGGTGGAGTTGATGGGTTGGCTCCAGCGGCGTACTCTGGTAAGGACCTCAAGAAGTTCACAATTGCTAAAGCTTGAGAGTACAACTTCAGTAGTGAGGTCTCCAGTGCACCTAAATCAACAGGTATCATGCACGTTATAGAAGGCGGTAGTGTGTCAAAGATGGAGAGCAGAGACAGTAGAAGATTGTACACATTGTTCAGAAGAGGTAAGAGAACGTTGACGAGGGGATATACTGCTGGAAGTTGGACCCCGGTTGCTGCGACAGGCGACTGCAAGAGATGACATTTTTTTAAATAAGTATATAATCAGAGTAACATATAAGCTATGTATATGTATATTTATTTCTGGTTTCTTTTTAAATAATGATGATGATGAATACTTTATCTGGTGCCAGTTACATTAGTCTTAAGAGTTGTATCAATTCAGTCTAGAATATAAGCAAATCTAGTCCCGATAAGTTATTAAAAAAAATATTTTTTACTTGTCGAAAGCGCATAAATGTCCATTATTTTTTACACTTTTTAGCTGTACCCGCGACTTCAACCGCGTGAAATAGACGGCGAAAGAGGAATTTCCATTTCACCCCTTATTTTATTTTACCCCCTTAAGGGTAAAATTAATACAAATTTTGAATGTCATATTTATTTATATTTAGTCAACAGCCTAAAAATTAAGTTTCAAACTTCTAGCTTTAAAAATGACGATACTTCCATACAACCTTACATCTCCCCTTTAAACCCCTTGCAACCCTTTTTTCGCCTTAAAAAGTAGCCTATGTCCTTTATAGGCTACTTTTATTTACTCGGGGTCTAGACTATCTGTATACTAAATTTCTCTTGAATCGGTTTAGTAGTTTTGGCGTAAAGCGAGACAGAGTTACTTTCGCATTTATGAAATTATTAATTCCCCATATAAATTTGGATACCCTTTATTATTTCCCTTTACGTTGCTTTATGTTTATAAAAGCATTGGAATAGTCCGAAAAAAGGGGCTTAGGCTCGAAAAGGTTACAGTCAGACAGAGACTTTTATAATAGTTATGGTTAATATTGAACTCACCGTAAAAACACAAGCGGCAACTACAAACAAAGTGACAGTTACTTTAAGCGACATTTTTTTAAAATTAAACTGTTTTTTTTTAATCCTTTTTGACACCTATGACTTGCCCAAATATCTGCGTGATTTTGTACTGAATAATAATATTAATGTTTTTATATATAGTTATATTGCAAAATTGGTTTATAGATAATGCTGTAAAGTGTGGTCGTTGATATTAAAACATTGTTGAATTACATAATGTAAGGCATAGAGTTATTACGAATTTTTTGTTATCAAAACCATTTCTAGGCATACATTTTTGTGTAATACCTTTTTTATACTCATCTATTTATTTATTCAGTGAGTCTCGTGGCCTAGTTGTTGGAAACCCCTACTTACACACAAGATCGTAAGTTCGAAACTCTTCGGGACATCTCTGGAAACCATCGTGGTTTTTTTTTCAGAGATGATAATGGAATGATGCATCCGCCTGCGCTAACGGTATACACTGGCGGGGCACCAGTAGAGGATGACAGGATGAGCGTGAAGCAGTTAGCCCAGCGAGGCGACTTTACCAGAAATTAAACACGGTTCCCCGGTTTCCGAGGGAACCGTTTGGAGGTCGACCTAACATAGTACATTGTTAATAATAAATACCTAAATAAATAACCCTGGACAATTTACACAACGCCATCCAGTCCCGCGGTAAGCAGAGCTTATGTTATGGGTACTAGACAACTGATATAAATACTTAGATATTTTTTTGTAAATACATACCTAATATACAACCAGACCGATACAAACAATCATACTCATGCATACAAATGTTTACAGCGTGATAAGATGAGCATGAGGTCAGGTTAGTTAGCCCGTGACAAATTCACCAGGAATTTATCACGATGGTTTCCAGGAGGAACCGCGTGGAGGTCAAACTGAGATGGTATATTGCTATATATGGTGTCATTAGTCCACATTCGATACTAATAATTAATTTTCCCCTCGTTTAATAAGGTTTTTTCTTTAAGAAGTGATAATGGAATGGTGCACCCGCCTGCGCTAACGGTTTACGCTGGCGGGGCTCCAGAGCATGAGGCCAGGTCAGTTAGCCCATCGTGACAAATTAATCAGGAATTTATCACGATGGTTTCCAGCAGGAACCGGGTGGAAGTCAACCTGACATGGTACATTGCTATATATGGTGTCATTAGTCCACATTCGATACTAATAATTAATTTTCCCCTCGTTTAATAAGGTTTTTTCTTTAAGAAGTGATAATGGAATGGTGCACCCGCCTGCGCTAACGGTTTACGCTGGCGGGGCACCAGTGGAGGATGATAGGATACACATGAGGCCAGGTCAGTTAGCCCATCGTGACAAATTCAACAGGAATTTATCACGATGGTTTCCAGCAGGAACCGCGTGGAGGTCAAACTGAGATGGTATATTGCTATATATGGTGTCATTAGTCCACATTCGATACTAATAATTAATTTTCCCCCTCGTTTAATAAGGGTTTTTCTTTAAGAAGTGATAATGGAATGGTGCACCCGCCTGCGCTAACGGTTTACGCTGGCGGGGCACCAGTGGAGGATGATAGGATACACATGAGGCCAGGTCAGTTAGCCCATCGTGACAAATTCACCAGGAATTTATCACGATAGTTACCAGGACGAACCGTGTGAAGGTCAACCTGAGATGGTACATTGCTATAAATAGGGTCATCTGTCCACATTATTAACAATACCCTTTCTCGCTCGTTTAATTAAGTTAAGCAACTGCTTACTCTAAGAGGAGACAATATAGTTTTTTTTCTAACGGGAATGGCAAACAATTTTTTGGCCAATACGGGGTTAAGTGATAACCGTCGCCTATGTATACGGATTGTAAACTGTGTTTCGGGTGAGATACGGTAGTAAAATTACTGGGTATGACTGAATAACATCTTAGTTAATGTAGGCAATGTATGTCGGTTACTAGGCATCACATATGACGTCACGTCCGTACACATAGATGACGGTTATCACTTATCTCCGTGTTCGCCAAAAACTTGTTTGCCATTCCCGTTACAAAAAAAATAAGCTATATTGTCTCCTCTTAGAGTAAGCAGTTGCTTAACCTAATTAAACGAGGGGGTGAAAGGAGGGTTGTTAGTAATGTGGACTGATGATCCCATTGGTAGCAATCATGCTATCAATGGGATCATGTCAGATTGACCTCATCTTATCGATACGTCATCACACTTGACATGCCCACAGGGGGGGGAAGGAGATTGTTAGTAATGTAACTAATCATGTGAAACGAGGTTGACCTCCATGGGGTTCCCCCTGGAAACCATCATTCATCTTATCATTTTTCATTGCCCCGCCAGCGTATACCGTTAGCGCAGGCGGGTACACCATTCCATTGGCATTCATAAGAAAGAAACCATATTAAACGAGGTGGGGGGGGGGGGGGGGAAGGAAGTTGTTAGTAATATGGACTGATGACTCCATTTGTAGTAACGTCAGGTTGACCTTCAGGCGGTTCCCCCTGGAAAACATTATGATAATTTCTAAGAGAATTTGTCACGATGGGCTAACTGACCTAACCTCATATTCATCTTATCATTTTTCATTGCCCCGCCAGCGTATACCGTTAGCCCAGGCGGGTGCACCATTCCATTATCATACATTACAAAAACCTAATTAAACGAAACCTAGATACCTACCAATGCAATAGAATTCTTTGTACAATTGTATAATTGTATGACTTAATATTGTATGAATTTAATATTTATCAACTTACTGATAGTGTACTACATTTAGTGTTAAACGAAATGTATTACATTTTGTAACAATTTCACATAATGCATAATAATAGATAAATAATGTATAAATATTGTATGTTTGTACACATTTTAACATTAACCTATTTGGATTTAAGTATAACAAAAAGTTCAGTTTACAAGAAAAATAAAAAAAAATGCGCTCGCATATCGTGCTAGTCGCTTTCTCTGTTATCCTTTTGGTTAGTATTATATTTTTATTTATTTTATTGATTACAAAAAAAAATATTATATAAAGACAGTAATGGTCATATCTTTGCCCTTTTCTAGAAAATAAAATGACAAATATAAACGTCATGCGAATTTTTGGCGGGAATAAAAATTTTTTGACAGAATATAGACAAAGTTAAGCTGACAATGTAACTTTCTATATGTGAAAGTATTATTGTTTTTCTCATAAGATGTATTTGTAAAGTAAATATAATATAACGCTCATAATCATTAATATTTTGGACATTAATAAATTTGTACTATTTAGTAGTCTGTATTCGTACATATTGTCTTAAAAATGTAATGTTACAATATTTGTTAAAATGAGCAATAGACAAATTTCTTTCTCATTCTTTTTGTTCCGAACTGCATTTCGCTGAATGGTAAATTAAAAAGGTGTGACTATTTAAGAAGCTTATATTTAAATTTATTTGAATATAGAATATTTGTATTCTATTCTAAAAAAAATACAATAACTTGTACCTATTGCTATCTTCCGGGATTTTCTTTAAAGATAAAAATAGTATCAACTATATCTTTATTTCGCTGGCCAGTAATTTTGCTGTACAAACATAACTTATTATAAAAATACTGGAATGCTCAACAATTTTTTAAGTTGTTTTTTTATATGTTGACGTTAGCAATATCTATTATTGTCCGCAAGGTCTATAGGGGTCTATGTAATGATTACTCTTTATTAATTAAAAAAACATTTGATTCCAGGTAAAAAACAGCCAAGCCATGATCCCAGCGTATTCCGTGTCAGCACTCCGATTGGCCTTTGATGAGATCTCAACAGTGTTACCCATTGCAAACCAGCTCGCTTGTCTCCTATTACCCTTCCTAATCAACTTGATCAATAATCTAAACAATTTATCTAATATTGTACAAAATCTGACCCCAGCTCTGCTCCCTTACTTCGGCTGCACATTACCTCTTTTGTACGCAACTTTAACAGATCTAGCTTCAGTTTTGTTCTTGTATATAAGTGTATTGATTTCTCTATTCAGATCAAATGTATTAGCAGCACCAGGATTGTTGATGGGTTTGGTCTCCCAGGTACTTAATTTAGTGCTGGGATTACTGACAGGGTTGTCTGATGGTACAGGCTTACTCAGCGGTCTGATCAAGTTGATAACAAGCGTTCTAGTTGAACTGGAGAAATTGTTGCTTTAAGTATTTTTATTGTATTATAAATAAAGTATTTTAAGATGTTTATGTTTTGTGTTTTTTATTGAGTCTACAGAAACTTCTTCCAATCACGGATAAGAAATAACCAAACTAATCCGAAAGATAGTAGGGTAGTACCTACCTCGTTACATTTAAATATCCCAGTAAATATGACATGTCTTATATATGATAATGACATGGTTAACCCGCCTGCGAGTACTGTTCCTAAATTTAAGTGTATTGATTTCTCTATTCAGATCAAACGTATTAGCAGCACCAGGATTGTTGATGGGTTCGGTCTCCCAGGTACTTAATTTAGTGCTGGGATTACTGACAGGGTTGTCTGATGGTACAGGCTTACTCAGCGGTCTGATCAAGTTGATAACAAGCGTTCTAGTTGAACTGGAGAAATTGTTGCTTTAAGTATTTTTATTGTATTATAAATAAAGTATTTTAAGATGTTTATGTTTTGTTCTTTTTTTATTGAGTCTACAGAGACTTCTTCCAATCACGGATAAGAAATAACCAAACTAATCCGAAAGATAGTAGGGTCGTACCTACCTCGTTACATTTAAATATCCCAGTAAATATGACATGTCTTATATATGATAATGACATGGTGAACCCGCCTGCGAGTACCGCCTGCTGGGATTACTGACAGGATTGTCTGATGGTACATTTGGCTTACTCAGTGATCTGATCAAGTTGATAACAAGCGTTCTAGTTAAACTGGAGAAATTGTTGCTTTAAGTATTTTTATTGTATTATAAATAAAGTATTTTTAGATGTTTATTTTTTGTTTTTTTTTATTGAGTTTTGTGATTCTTGTGATGGAATCACGGGTAAGAAATAATCAAACTAATCCTACAGAGAAATGGAGTCGACTTTACCGTGTTGGATCTTATGACACGAATTTTTGGGTCTTATGGACGAATTTTTTATAGTATTGCAATGCTTTTGGACGCAGCTGGCCTTTAGAGCTTTACCGAACGATGCAGTAAGTGCAGATGGCACTCCAAACCCACGGAAGGACTTATGGCGCGGCTGATGGCCAACTCCCGCCTGACGGATACGACTTTAGTCTGAGGGCACCGCTAGGGGTTCGAACCTCGGCTAAGGCCATCGTAGTTTCAATCCTCGTTTGGATTGGACGGGGGATCGATCAGGTTTGAAGACTAAACTGGACGGCAGGCAAAAAAAATAATACATGGTTTTGAATTTTATCATACACCATTTATTTCGTCTGCATCATACTTGACATTTATACACATTATACATTATATTTCGCCCAATTTACAGATTTTCTTCTTAATAAGCCTATGTTTTATTCTAATATATAAATTATATTACTTTGAAGTTTCACCAAAATCCGTACAGTAGTTTTTGTGTGAAAGAGTAACAACGATCCATCTATACTTACAAACTTTCGCGTGTATTAAGATTAATTCCAGGATAAGAGACATGATATCTCAATCCTTTGGAATAGCAATGACTGAGTGTTATTAAGTACGTAGTGCTATTCATGACAGATAGTAGTTTAGCGGTTTAGCATACCGCCTCATTTCCGATGTCGCGGGTTCGACTCCTCGCACGGTACAAACATTTTCATGAGTATGATTGTTTGTATCAGTTTGCGTGTTTTTTATGTATAATATAACTGTAATATCTAAGTATTTATATCATTACTTTACCATATATGATTGTTTTACGCTTCTGTTTTATATATCTGATAGCAAGGAATATGACCGTGTCGGCACCGGCCCATATAGTAGCAACGGACCTTCCTTACTTTTATATCAGTTGTCGTACTCATAACATAAGCTCTGCTTACCTTGGGACTAGGTGACGTTGTGTGAATTCTTCAGGTATATACTTATATATACGACTACCATTTACCTTCATTTAGGTCATTTTTTTTTCAATACAATTACATAAAAAAATAACTGTAATAATCAAGAAACTAAAACATAGTAAATTATATAATTATGTTTACCTAACTGCATGAAGATCTGACCGTGAACTTTGCAAATTGTTTGCAATGTGAATAATGCATATTCATTTAATATTTGCAGTCACGTAATTTTTTTTTACTAAGTTAAGTAACTATATTAATACTAATATATACATAGATGTACCGACTGTACATTTGTTTGCTACCTTTTCATGACAAAATGGCTGTTTTTTTATTTTTCAGGACAATTCACACAGAATCATCTAGACCCCAGTTATTAGAGAAATGATACAAATATATAGATATTTTTTTTCGTAAATACATATATATTATAAAAAACACCGATACAAAATCTAGACCTAAGTTAAGCTAGTTAAAGATCGTGTTATGAATACTAGACAACTGATACAAATACATAAGACACATTTCTTTTCGTAAATATATATTATACATAAACAACACCCAGACCGATACAAACAATCATACTCATGAATACAAATGTTTGTGCCGTGCGAGGAATCGAACCCGCGACCATCGGGAGTAAGGCGGCGTGCTAAACCGCTAGACCACCGAGGTGTTAAAGTCTGTGGTAAATTGAGAATAGATTAATATTGTCTTTTATGTTATTTGTCTATACTCTTATTTCGAGCACTGGGCGACAACTATATAAAAACTATAGTATATCAGTCTGTTTGTTTTATACCATTTTACGAGTAAACGGCTGACCAGTTCATGATGTCAAGATTTAAGCTATGAGGACAGGAATAAATTATATTTTACTAGCTGTACCCGCGATTTCGTCCGTATAAAATAGTGACCTTAATCAAAAATTAAAAAAAAAAAATCTAACGCAATAAAAGACAAATAAAAAAGTTTCATCATTCTAGCATCAAAAATTCAAATAAAAACTTTCAATCCTATTTCATTATACCCCTTTAAGGGTAAAATTCTTACAAACTTTGAATGTCATATTTATTTATATGTAATCAACAAACAGCCTACAAAAAAAATTTCTAGCTTCTAGCTTTAAAAATAACGATTGAGGTACCGTATATATCGTAAAACCTTTCATCTCCCCTTTCAACCCCTTACAACCCCTTACAACCCTTTTTTCGTATTAAAATATATCCTTTCTCAGGGTTTAGACTATCTGTGTACCAAATTTCGTTTAAATCAGTTCACTAGTTTTGGCGTGAAAGCAAAACAGACAGACAGACAGACTTACTTTCGCATTTATAATATGTTATATATATAGTTAGGATAAAAAATATGTAGACGGCGTCGCGAGTAACAACTAGTATAGTATATACTATATTCAGGTTCAAGTTTAAATAACAAAATTCGAGGTTAATTTACGTTATGCAAAATATGCCAACATTTGCATTTCAATGTAGGTCGTGTATTATGCTTGACTGTGCATTAAATACATTACCTAATATTTTATTATTAATTTAATAAATGCGACAGTTTGTAGGTAAGTATGGATGTTTGTTACTCTTTCATGCACCCCGCCCCCCTCCGATCGATGCCCGTCTAATTCAAACGGGGATCGAAATTACGACGGCCTGAGCCGAGGTTCGAACCCCTAGCGGTGGCCTCAGACTTAGCTCGTATCCGTCAGGAGGGAACTGGCCTTCAGCCGCTCCATAAGTCCTTCTGCTGATTTGGGGTGCTAACTGCACTATGCTGCTCCACTTTACAGCTTCACCGGATGATAGGGGATCATCCGGTGAAGCTGTAAAGCAGCTGTGGTCAACAGCATTAGAGTAATCCGGACAAAAAATCTTTCACCCAAAACTACTGAACGGATTTTGGTGAAACTTTATAGTAATATAGCTTATGCATCAGAATAACACATAGGTTCTATTTTATATTGAAATTTAACGCGTGTAGCTGGTGTATTATAATATTACTAGCTGTCCCGGCGAACGTTTTGCCATATAAATTAAATACGCTATTATACAATAAGGGTTGATGTTAGAAGGGTGAAAATGTAGGGTTGTATGCATTGTTTAAAAGCACATTATTAAAAAGTAAAAATGAATTGTCCAAAAAATGTTGGAGGTGGACAAATCTTATCACTTAGGGGCATGAAAAATAGTAGCTGATTCTCAGACCTACTGAATATGCATATAAAATTTAACAAAAATCGGTCAAGCCGTTTCGGAGGCGTATGGTAACTAACACGAGTATTTTATGTATATATGAGAATTAGTGTAGAAAATGAAGTTTATAACATAAATATTTATTTCTATTAATTGTGTAGAAATAGCAATATATAGAGTTACTAGTTAAGTCGATCTATTCCCGTTAGGGGTGTATAGTTTACAAATTGACATATATGTACATACAATAATTCATAATTATATAAACAATCAATAATTTAATTAACTTTAAGATTTGTTCGCTTGATATAAGCAGATTATGCAAGTGCTATGTTTTTGTATAACATCATATATGTATGTACCCAAAATATATTACAAATAAATTTATTATTCTCATTTCTGACAGATTTCACTATGAGACACCCTATCCTAAATCTAACCGTTTTCGAGATATGAATTTAATTGATTTTTACAAAAAAGTCCTGATTTTCGGCAATTAGTTTAGATATTTTAAAATGTGTAAGTCTTATTATTACCACAGATAACATAATATTACATATTATTACTATTATTTGATTTTTACATGTAAAATAAGATGCTCTATCACCTTAATAACCAATATTACACGTAAAATGTATAAGTAAGTCGTTGTAGATGATTAAAACTAAAAATATAATAAAAATTTTCAAAACTTCCTTTTTCTTTAATTGTATCTGAAAAAAATATTATGGCGCAGATGTGCTTATATATCTCTACGTTTCATCAGCTATCCGATGAGGTGTAACAATCTAGGGTTTTATCAAAAATTTGTAAAAAACTTACATTTAAACCTAAATTTAAAAATCCTACGCCAATTGTTTTTAAGGGTCCTAATGTAATGCGTGCGAGCGAGACACCTTACGATTTATGCAGGTGTGAGTGAGATAAAAATACGTTTTGTGTACGTTTTGTATCATGTTATTGTTAGGTTTATCAGACTCACAATAACAAGTTATTATTAATCTCTACCCTACGAATACAAAGCAAGCTGCTTGGTGGCTGAAATAGGTGAGACTTAGGTACACACGCAGATGAGTTTGTTTAATCTACCTTTGGTTTAAATGAGTTTAAAATAAATAAAAATGAAAAGAGTATGTCGAAAGGGAATTTATACCTGGGCCAATTTTACACTTTATAATAATTTATCAATAAATTTCCCGCAATATCGTGACCAATCAAGATGATTTTGAGATAAAAGTGATAATATTAAAAAGAAATATCTGTAATCACTCGATATGCCACTAAAATTGTTAATATATAATAATCACGTATATTAAAAAAGAGGTTTGTTTCAATTTAAGTATAATAAGTGAATGATGAACGTAAAATGTTAGCATATTTTATTTATTTGTGCTTGTGCGTTACGACGGTAAGCATTTTCTTTTAATTGTCATATATTAACCAATTTAACAACTTCTATAATATTTGGAGATACGATAAAGCTGTTCAGTGTTTCAATATAAATAGAAAATCAATAGTGTTCGAGATATTTGAATTTTTTGAAAAATTCCGCAAAATTTGACAATTCAAAGCCAATAAAAAAAACTACATGAAAAATTGGCATTTACCTTTGTGATTCATAAACACAGCTAGTACAACCATAAAAAAGTACACTAAATTATAATTTAAATTTATGACCAATTTAGTAATTTACACTTTCGGTAATTCATATGTTATGTTGTAAATAAACTCACGCCCCGACAGTAAGTCGTCGAGTTACTAGTAACCCTGTATAATTTTATTGTGAATAACCAGGGCAATTATCGTTTCAGGCAATTGGAAATCCTCTGACACAACTGCTACCACTATTATCAGGAAATTGTAACCAAAATAGCTTTATACAGCCTACTTCGTCTCCAGCATCAAGTATACCTTTTCTACCTCAAGCTGCAAGCTACAATGGACCTTATTCACAACAGCTACCAGGTTATAATGTACCCAATTTACCACAGGCGGCAAATAATAACAATCTACTGCAACTTCTGAATCAAAATCAAATGTCTCCAGATAAATGTTTTTGTAATAAATTACCACAAAATCCGATAGTTGGTGGTATAAAAGACAATGCAATTAATCAACTTTACGCTAATAAAATAATGACAAATCCAATGTTCCAACGTATTTTAGGACCAAATGCAAAACCTAATCAAAATGGAGTTGATTCTTTAACAGAGTCTATTAATGTACCTAATAATGATGTAGTACCTAATATTATAAACAATTATTATATCTTACCTCCGGAATATTTGGAAGCAATTGAACAAGATTTGAAGAAGAACCTTAGAAGTTCAAAACGATATCAAAGGGAAGAAAATACGAAACATACAAGTGGAAGAATAATAAGTTCGGTAAATAATAACAGGAAACCGTCTGAGAGTAACAGATCAAAAAAGAAAATTACAAACACACGACATCACGATAACCCATTAGAAATAAAGCCTAAACACAAAAATAGAGACAATGGCCAGAAAGAAAGAGGCGGCACTCGGAAATCTGGAAGAAAAGAGAAAAATGAACATATAGAAAATAAGAGTAAATCGTCGGGAAAAAGGAAGTCGACTAAAAATAGAAAAAAGGAAAATAATGAAAATATAATTAAAAAACAACAAGAAAATATAGGAAGTAAGGCAACAAACGACACAGATATTAATGAATATTTTGAAAAAAATATAAATAAAACAAATGTAACTTCAAATAGTACCAATAAGAAAAATATAAACAAATCTCAGCCTATTAAAAAGAATAATGAATTATCAAATGAAACCAATAATACCAAAAATAATAAAGGAGATAATGATCTAAAAAGTAATTTCAGTAAAAATAGAGATGAATCTATAATTAAAGATATCCATAGAAAATTTCCTGGTATTCCAGAAGAAGTAATCAGAAAATTAATATCATATTTGAGACGTCAATATCAAAATCAACAGCTGGGTATACAAGATTCTTCAAAAAATACCAGGTTCTATAAAACTAATAAGAAAAACAATAACAAGGATGAAAACAGAAGTAAATCACAAAACTCTAATGGAAAAAATAAGGAACATATAAAAGACAAAAATAAAATAAATACTACTATGCCTAATAGCGAAATATCTGATCCAGGTTATACTACTACAGATGTAAATTTATTACAATCATCAATATCAACAACAACGGAACGAATTACAAAGTTTGATAATACTGGTAAAATTACGAATATCACAAACAAAAAGACGACTAGTACTAATATGACAGATTTATTTCCAAAAAATAAATTGATAGATGTATTAGTGACTACACAAATACCAAACGTACATAAAACTTTACAACCAGTTTTAATCGAGACCACTACTGCTTACAATTTAGAACCTAAAATTCCAAATCTAGGTGAAGAAGATACGATCAATGAAATAGAAAATTTTGTGGATGATTATTATCCAAATTTTATTGCTGACAATAAGTATATAGAAAGCAATGAAGACAATTTTAGAAATAATATGGATAATAAATTTCTTGTTACACATAACACTGAAACATCTACAGCCATAGCTGAACGTGACGAAAATATAACTAATCCAATAACTGAAATTAGTATAGATTTTAATGATTACACAGAAAATACTATTTTTCAAACACCACCTGTTTTGGAAAACCCTAACTTCGAAACGAAACCAGTAGATAGATCTACAAAAATAGATGATCAACATTATTACGAGCATGAATTCAAAAAAGACAACGATGAAGTTATACGAATTTATTTAGGAAATCCAAATGACAAGCTCTCATCTTATTCTGATACAAAATCGAGTAAATACAACGATTCGAAATATGTGAAAGTTTCTACTAAAAAACCTACAAATATAGAAACTGTATTTGCTAAGTCGAAGGTTGTAAAATACGGCCAAAATGAAGATCATTACGAGGAAGAGACTACAACTGTAAAATATAATTTACCGCTGATCAATAGACCTGTACTTGTGTTTGCGAAATCAATACCATCTGGAGATGTTTAATCAATGAAATCTTTAGTAAATAAGAGGTAAAACATTACCATTACTATGTCTTATAAATTATTTTATATCTTTGAAGTTTTATTTATTGATTGCGTATATTATTGACACAATCTTTCTTCTCTAGTCACAGTGTTAGTTGGCACACTTCTCCGTCATGGCTTAACCGATTTTGTTGAAATTTTATGTGTATACTCAGTAGGTCTGAGAATAGGTTGTTATCTATATTATATACTCCTGGGTAATGAGGGTGGCGCACCCCTATTTTTTTTTTTCTATTGGGTGAGCTCAAATTATTATTTATATTTTTTAGGAATATATTTGAAATTATTTTTATGACGATAAGAACAATGAGCAAGATGTGTTGCTCTTTTGAATAAAAGTTTTTTTAAATACATAATCACACAACAACAAGTAAGAGGCATGCGATAATCAACATAGAAACCCCTATGCACTCATTCTTAGTGCAATTAGATAATATTTTCAGCGCTCATAATATAACATCCACCTACACTTACAAACTTTCACGTTTATAATATTAGTGAGATAACTAAGTACGAAGTACTATGAATGTATAAGAAAGTTGTCTTATAAACGTTATATGTGTACATATTTATTTACCTTTCGTAGCACAGAAAACAGAATGGATGAAAAAAATCAACATTCAACCTGTGTATTCGCTATTTGCCGAGATCCTTTATAAACAGTGGGAATAAATTGCTTGTAAATATTGTATACACGTAATCTGAATAAAATTGATTTATACGATTTGTTGTATTTACGTTTGGTGTTGTTTGAATTTTTGTTGTGTTTTGATGACGGCCTCGATGGTCTTGCGGTTTAGCATACCGTCTTAATTTCTGTGGTCGCGGGTTTGATTCCTTGCACGGCGCGCAAACATTTGTATTCATGATTATGATTGTTTGTATCTGTCTGGATATTTTCTATGTATAATATGTATGTATTCATGAAACAAAATATATCTATTTGTATCAGTTATCCAGTACCCTTGACACAAGCTTTAGCTAGCTTATCTTGGGTCTAGATAGAGCAGTATGAATTGTTCTGAGATTATTATTATTACAACGATTTGTTGCATTTTTCTCTTTTAAATAATTTAGATGTAACTTTACATTTTTTATGTTGAAATGTGTGAATACAAACTACCAATTAGCACTAATTTATTAGAGTCAAAACATTAAATACACAACTAAGTGGTTGAGTAACTAAATAAGAGTAAATCAGTCGTAGTGATTAGACCAGTCCTTACAAGCAGCACTCGTTCACGAGTATGATGTATGAGCCAACCTCGACCATATTTTAAGGAATCTGTCAATCCGTCTCCAATGATCTGTCAATGATCTGTCCGTCTGTTTGTTTCGGCTAATCTCTGAAATGGTTGGACCGCTTTTGACCGGATTTTTATTGGCAGGTACCTGATGTAATAAGGAGTTACTTAGGCTACTTTTTATTGTTGTATGTGTCTAATTGTCCTCGGGCACCTTAAGAGATTTAGATGAACTACAAAACATATTTATAATTTTAATTTTATTATTAAATGACTAAATGAAAAAATTAAAATTATTAAATAATTAAAAACAAAACAAATACTATAAAATACTTTTTATTATTAACACAATAATTTATTAAGATTCACTTATTATATTATATCTAATAAACATTAAATAAATAAAACAGAAGCTTACGTTTTAATGATAATATTCAGAAATTGCCCTCAAATAAAGTATTTTAACATTAGTACTTTAGAGTCTTTATATTCATCCATTATTTCTATACTTAGATATGTAGATATAACGAAATTATATTAGGGATTTCTATACCTATATAGAGTGATACACAGACAGAAAAAACTAAGTAATGTAACAGATTGGTAAACGTATACGAAACCAAAAGCGAGTGTACATAAAACTGAATAAACCTAAAGAAGAAATATTGATAACATTTTTAAAAACCTTGCGATTAATTATGAACTGTTCAGTCATTTATTTTCAGAGTTTCGCTTTGTTTGTTGACAGAAACGATCGATATTCTTGGTCTTTTGGGTTGATATATCCTCTAGTCCAGAGGTACCAAAACTTTTTTGTGTCGTAGACCCCTTGCCATATTTTTCGGTTTTGGGTAAACCCCCCATTCTTAGCTGGTATTGATTTTTTGTAAATTTCTAATTGTAGTAAAGTTTAGTGTGAAATAAAAATAACAAGATGACCGCTGTCGTACAGTTTATCATAGACCCCTGGGGGTAGAGACCACTTTGGGAATCACTGCTCTAGTCCATCGTGGAATGTTCTTGCATAAATTGCTTTGTATTTTACAATTGAATTTAAAAAAAAGGAGGTTCTAAATGTGTCAGTGTTTTTATGTATGTATTATTTACCTCAGAACTTTATTTTGCGTGAATCTATTTTGATTTTTATATTTAAAGGTTATTCTTCCATTGTAGTTTCATATAATTTTTATTATTAATATGCTTGAAGCCGGTTTTTTGTGGTCTGTAGACGTATTTTTATTCTGTATGTATGTAGATCAAGCCGTACACATCATAGCTATAATGGCGGTCCTCAGATCATTGCTTTCGTTGTCATTTAATATTTTATCTATAACCATTATTTCTAATAATTTCTTGTAATCCATTGATTCTCTGTTCCCAATTTTGAAAATTGGAGCTTCAATTACAGTTGGAAGTGGTGGATAGAATGGTACATTAATATTTGGAGTTGGGAGATATGACGGTGAATATATAATACGAGGGCAAGTATATGTTGGCACGATTGTAGCTGGCGATAAATCTTCAGTCACTACATTGGCAGTTAATGAACTTAAATATGGAACATCTGAATCTATTACTTCAGTACTTTCTGACAAAGTTGATACAGAAACTGAATATTGTGAAGCTTTTGGCGTTATATTACCAAATTCTGAAGATTCCGCTGTAGAAGATAACGAACTTGCTGAAATATCAGATTTAGTATTCAATGAGGAGTCGGTTGTTGCTAACGTAGGTGTTGCTTTTTCTTTTAATTGTACTGGAGTGTAGTATTTATTACTCTTTAATATTGAACCTTTTGGTTTATTTGCTTTTAGAGAAGATAATAAAATTTGCTTTGTGACGTCAGTAGCCAATTCTATCGCTGAAGACGGAATAAGTGAATTTGTTGGAGATACATTTATGTATGATAATACTGGAGTTGAAGGTGATAAGTAAGAAGGAGCATTGACCTTCGGTAGCTTTGAAATTTTAGTTATTTCATCTGTTTCTGATTTATGACTTTCGATTAGAGGATTAGGTGATACATTTCTGGGTGATTCAACTATTACACTATTTGTTTTGTGAGTTAAATCTAAGTTATTAGAAGTACTAAAAAAATCAGTGTTACCTATAGGTACTACATTCTCCGAGTTATGATTGAATGGAATGTAGTTATTAGGAAGTATATTAACTGTAGATTGAATTGGGGTAAGGGAAGAAGATATTATGTTAGGAATATTATTTGGTTCGTTATTACTGGGCATGTTGTTTTTGTCTATTGCAATCTCTGCTCTATTAATTGGATTTTTTTGTAAATTATTAAATGGATTCATTAATGTCAAATGACTTTGATTTTCTATTGGTGAAATTGTATTAGAATTTATAAAATTCTTTAGTGGAGAAACTGATATACGATCTATATTTGAATTAATATCTGCAATTACAGGAGCAAACTGTTGATGTGGTAATATAGTATCTTTATTCATGTTTGGAAAATTATTCATAAATATTGGTGACTGTATTGAGTTTCCGTCGATAGATTTGCTTGGTAATATATTATCATTAATAAGTTTATTTTTAATCACATTGTCTTCAATATTAGAAGCAGCCTTAAATGTTTCACTAAATTTGGATTTTGATAAGTTTGGTGACATAATATTTGGTAAATGTTTGTCTTCAAGTTGGGGTATAATAGCAAATGAAGGATTTTGCAAGGCTAAACTATTATTTAAATTGTTAAAACATCCATTAAGGTTTTGGTTTACGAATGAATTAGTTAAATCGTTATTTTTAAAATTATTATATAATGGTGTAGCAACATTACCAAGTGGAGCTATGTTCATTTTAGGCTTCAAGTTAATTTCTGGTTTTTGTGAATTAAGCTGTGTTAATAATGGATTTTGATTTTTATTCGTAGTTAAACTTGGTAGTTTATTATTTAATAAGTTTGCTTGTTCTAGGCTTGGTTTAAAATTAAGACTTGGGTTATATAATGTTAGTCTTTCTTTTTCTACATTCCGTATTTGATTATTTATGCTATTTTGTAAAAGAGGAACGTTATTTATTGAAGGTACATGATTATTAATTTTTGAAGACAATATATTCGATTCAATGTTTTGAGCTTGTAAATTTTTATCTTTTGTTATTACAGGGTTTTTGACTTTATTATTATTGTAAGGAATTTGTGGTCTATGAATTGGATTATTTGCAATAATATTACTATCTATATTATTTAATGGCCTATTATTAATAAATGGTTTAACATCATTCAGACTATCTGGTACAGGACTTGACAATGGAAAATTCAATTTAGGAGATTGGTAAACAGTGTTTATATTCTGTGGAGGATCTATAAGAGGCCGTTTCCCAAATGAACTAAAGTTGTTATTAATATTATTTAAATCTTTTAAAGCTGATTGTTTTAGTGGACTATCTGTCTGTCCTAAAGGTCCAGATAGTTGAAGACTTGCTTGTGGTATTAGTCCATGAGATTGTGCGGGAGATATGTTACCAAAATTATTTAAAAATACTGAAGGATCTAATTTAGAGGGATTTGCTTGAAACGATGAAGGGACTGCTTTAACACTTTCTGATGTTTGTAATGGATTAAACAATGTAGAAGACGGTGAAGTAAATCCAGTTTTGGATGAACTGGAACCAAATTCACGATAAGGCGGACCAAATGTAGGCGGATTTGATAACTCTAACATATTTCTAGATATTGATGATGGATTATTGAATGGAATTGCTGATCTGGGTGATATTGGAGTATTTGTAAGTGGGGATAAGAACTTGTTGTCTATGAAAGGTCTTTGAGACACTGCATTGGTTGTTTTGGTTGTAGCCGGAGTGGGTAACAACGGCTTAACTTCACTGGTGAAATTGGAGAGTTGTAGTTTTATTCCAGTTGTGGAAATTGTGATCTGAAATAGAAAATAACAAAAAATATATAATTCTTTTTCACTATTCGACTAAACTGCTGAACAGATGTTAATACTATTTTACATGGGATCAGTTCTATCACAAACGCAATCTTTTATATAGGAGATATACAAAGCCGCGCGTAAATAGCAGTATAAAATAAACAGTAGATAATTAAAAAGTAAACCTAATTATATTTCAATAATAAACATAGTTATATTTTACATTCATACAAGGTTCTACACAATACTTTGTTCTGATTGTCATAGTAGGTAGCTTAAGTCCTATATCCCAACTTGCTACGTAATTACCAAACGTAAGTTCAGAGAATAATGAAAACAATATACTAGTAAATGAAGGCACACACTTTCTCATTTACTGTATTAAATAGGATTAAAAGTAGCTAGGATAGTATTCAGTTCCAGTAAACGTGTTCTCGTGTTTTTTTTAAATTTCGTATATTTAAAGATTTTTTTACAATAATAAAGGAAGATGTTTTTCACTTTAATCAACTAAAGAATCTCGTTCATATATCAAGTACCCAAAGGGCCTCTGTATTTTTTTTTATACTACTATGTTGGCAAACAGGCATACGGCCCATCTGATGGTAAATGGTTACCGTAGCCTATGGACGCCTGACGCCTCTGTATATAAATATATAGTAAAATTAATCTACATTTACCTTTAACTATCAAGACAAATATCACTTAATATCTTTGTTACTATAGTATTAAAAAGTATAAATAAAAAAAATACGATACCTGAGAGAATAGACAAATTGCCAAAATAAAATTATAGGCCACTGCCATGTTCATAAACAGCTATTCAGTTTTCCAGCCAGTGCTATCACTGATCTTCTATTATTAAAATATATAATATTTTTTAATAAAATTTAAATCCAGCCAGTCACAATTTTCTTCAAACACTATAATATTTTTTTATGAGAATATTCCCTTTCTCGTTTGAAAATCGAATGATCAAATTCGATTCAACCATAACTTTTTCATATATCTTATCATCAAAATAGTATTGCAGGTCAAATTACTAAATTAATGTTATCAGGTTAGTAATATTACTTGCTAAAATTTTTATCGCATTTGATAAATATAAAGCAATACCTAAATACCTATAGTATCACTGGAGAAAGCAAAAATAATATATTTCAAAATAATACTTTTATTAACAAGAATCTAGTCACCTAATATTTTTTTTATAACGATGACCTAGGCAGCTTTTACAAAATGCTATATGTATCATCCCACTAGCATTCGCCCTATTCTGTATCATTCGAAAATCAGCGATATTTATACGTATAATGAGTAAAGATTACGGGATCTTACCACGTTTTTTTATTGTGTTCCCGATATTTCGGCAGTATTTCAACCGCTATAATCACGGATACACTGAAGAGCACCGGGTAGATGGTAAATAAAATCTTTTTTATGGGCAGACATATGCTTCTACCTTCACACGTCTTCCTTTGTTGCTACTATCGAAACTAGCTCGATATTCAGCTCAGCAAACTATATTCACAGTATCTTCACGTAGGTATATTTAATACACTTTCCTAACAGCGGTGTTTTACTCTATTTATGATATTAAAACATGTTTTTTTATTGTATAACTAAAATTATGAGCAGCCCACCACCTCTCTTTAGTTAATAACGGATGACAATATCAATTTATGCCCGTGATACTCTTCATGAGTTGCCATTTCTGAGAATTAAGTTGTTAAACGTCCATAAACTGTAATTTCATTACCAAATCTCACCTTTCACACACACAACACAGCTTACAAATCAACCCGGGAGGAGTAGTTAATATCTCAGGATTATTCACACAGCGCAAAAATCATGTAGGTCATTTTAGCCGCTTATGAACGTAAAGTTTTTGGTATTAACATTTTATCCCTACCGTCCCAACAAAGCAGAGCTTGTGTTGTGGGTATAAATGTTGATATAAATATCTCTTTTGGAAAGTACACACTCTATTCTGAGATGTTAAAACCAATGCTTCTAAGAATATCCTTCAATTCATGTCCCTGACGGGCCTAGGTAGCGAACTATAAAAAAGTGCGAGTACGATGGATCTACTCGTATTCCCCACCGATCGATCCCTCATCTAATTCAAACAGGGATCGAAATTATGACGGCCTGAGCCAAGGTTCGAACTAGCAGTGCCCTCAGACTAAAATCGTATGTATCGATCCGGTGTTCCTTTTCTTATTGTGAACTATGTTTTTATATACAATTTTTACTTTTATATTTTTGTTTAACTCTATATCTTGTTTAATATCTTGTATTAGAGTAGTTCAAAAACTAGATCTATAGGTACAGGTCGCAGTGTTACAGGTCTAAAACACCAAGTTAGCCCTAACCTCATAATAAAAAGTCTTGATTATTCATCGAATGACCATCTACTATATTACCTTTATCAAAACCTACGTCGCCATTGTTAGTTAATTGGTTATCATTTTACGTAACTTTACCATAAATTCCTTTACTTCGCAATTTATATAGTATTGTTTTTGTAATATATTGAAAACGATATAGTATATATACGGCGTTGTTTTTTTTATTAGTATCATTCGTTCATAACAGCAGTATATTCGCAAGTTTACAAAATGGCGAGCCGTGTATTAGCTATTTTCCTCGTTCAAGCCGTTGTTTTTCAGGTAATTTAGTCATAAAAATGTTAATTTCATACGCATTTATATGTTAATTTATATGCAATTAAAAATACATTTTATTATGTTATTAGCAGGGTATTAAATAGATGTATTATTAAATAATAATTGGTCTATATCATGCTTTTTTCAAATTGGAGTTCCTTATATTTTGTTAGCACTGTTGACACATTACCCTAGCGATTATAACGTACAGTTTTTTTAATATAACAGCTGTTTCTTTGTTTGTAATATATTAAAATACTAGCTGTGCCCGCGATTTGACCCGCATGAAATTTATAGCCTATGTGTTATTATGATGTATAAGCTTTTATGGCGTATAGCACTTATTCCCTTTCCTTTATATTTCCTTCATTCCCTTTATATAAAAGTTATAAATGGTCATACGACCTCAGAGCTCTAGCCGTTTAGTACACTGCCGATAGTCGTGGGTTCGATTTCTCACAATGTACAAACATTTTGTATTCATGAGTATGATTGTTAGTATCGATCTGGGTGTTCTCTATCTATAATATGTATGTATTTACACAAAAAAGGTATCTATGTACTTCTATCACTTGTTTGGTACCCATAACACAAACTCTGCTTAACTTGTGACTAGATGGCACTGTGAACCATCCTGAGATATTATTATTATTATAAAAAAATACAATAAATAAATATATTAATGTGTTATTATTTTCTTTTCAGGCTATATTCGCCCAAAACATAAACAGAATCATACCATTGGAAGCTTTGCTATCAAACCCGCTTTTACTCAACCAACTAGCCCCTAGCATCGTTCCTATTGCCCCTAGCGTCGTTCCTGTAGCTCCTAGCGTCGTTGCTTGCGAGCAGCCAATAGTAGAAACCGTCGTGTCAACACCTGTAGCTGTTCCTACTACTACAATTATTCAAGATAGTACAGTAGCCAACAATTTAGCTAACGCATTGCAGTTACTCATTGTTAGTAATTTACTAAGTAACACTTTACCTGCTAAACCCGATGTGGTGATCCCTGCTTGTGCATCTCCAGTGGATTTGATATCTCCTGTAGTTGGTGGTATTAACTATGTTTATTAATAATAATACTATTTTTCAATAAGAAATAATCATCAACTGCTTCTTCCTTATCCCATTCATTTGGAGCGTAATGTGTTTTCTTCTTCTATTTAAAGGTTTTTTGCAGTCATCTCTTTATTTCCTCCCTTTCCTAACATATTCAGTCTATACATCTATTTTTCTATCTTGCCCTGTCCTTCTTATATTCATTAAAAATTAATATAATAATTGTTTCAACTGAAATCAGGTTTGATACGTAATATGTTGTTCTCTTGTATTCATCCGTGTTCGCAGCCATCTTTCTATTTACACCCTTTCTTGCTGTATTCAGTCCATACATCTCTTTCTACCTTGTCCTGCCCTTCTTATAATCAATAAAAAATATTTAAATAAATGTAACTCGAAGTATCACGTTTGATACGTAATATGTTTTTCTCTTTCATTCATCCATGTTCGCAGTCATCTCTTTATTTACTCCCTTTCCTGCTATATTCCGACCATCTCTTTTTCTGCCTTACTTACTATTCAATAAAAAATATTTTTTTTAAGTCGAAGTATCAGGAATGAACAAAATTTTACAATGTCACTCCTAACGTCATTATTATCACTACTGAAGTAATTTTTATTGCTCCTAGCGTCATTACTATGTTTCCATATTAGTAATTGCATACAAATATTTGTTTTAATAGTTTCAAATTTAGAAGCGTATGCAGTATTTGATGTTCACATTTGAAAATAGTAAATTATGTTTATTAAGAATGTTGTTATTGTATCAATAAAATTGTTTTATTTTTTAAATTTTATTTTTATTCCATGACCAAAACCAAAAGTGGTTTTGGTCGCTTATTATTTTATTTTGCATAACAATCCTTACGCCATACTAATACTATAAATAAGAAAGCGTGTCTGTCTGTCTATTTATTTATGATCTTTTCACGACTAAACAGCCAAACGGATATTAAACATGCGTGAATGTAGACTATATAACGACTACAAATTTTTATTTGACTGTTTATAACGTACTATCTACCCGCCTCGGCTTCATACGGGTGTACATATATTATACACCTAATCCATCCTGTTGAATCACTCTATCTATTGCTAAAAACTGCATTAAAATCCGTTGCGTAGTTCATAATATAAAGGAAAACAGTGGGAGCGACTTGATTTTATACTATGTAAAGATTAGCGGTATAAAAATATATAAGCTGTTACAGAATATTTCGTGATTCTTATTTTTTATGACGGCTGGCTCACACGTCATACTCGTGAACGTACTCTTGTAACTTGCTCTGATAACTATGACTGATTTATTTTGTTACTCGAGTAGCTATTATACCTATTTACTATTGTCAATCTTGTCATTTGGTATTCATTCAAAAGTACTTACATATATTAAGTTTATTTGAATAACGACTATTTCTATTATGTAGAAGGAGTTAAAGTTAGTTCCATATAATTTAAAGAGATATTTTGATTGCTCCAAGTGTACGAACAGAATGCTATGATGAAATTCAATATTAATATTAATAATTAATTAATTATTAATTAATTATTAATATCTATTAGTAGGCATCATAAAAGTTTGTAACAAAATCGGTTTACAATTGAAAAATAAATCATATTCTGTCTCTGTATGTTATTTTTTACATTCTGTCCACTTTTTTCACATTCGATCTCAAAATAGAGAATAAATTATTTGTGTATTTACACATATTTCCGTAAGACTCGGAAAAAGTAGCGTTAAAAAACTAAAGTTAATGATTTTTAATTGGTTTGAATATTTTAAAAATTCATTTTATTATACACAAGAGCACAACTCGTCCGTTCCGTTCGCGGCTGCTCGTATAATGCCTTTTTGTACTGGTAACTGTTCATAGGCCGCCATCTTGAGTCCAACTACTCTCGCAAAAGTAGAAGTGATAATAATTACACTACTCATTTTCTTCAGTAACACATCTGTGGGAAGTACAATCAGAGGACGGTAGGTAAATATATACAAATAAATAAAAGTTAAGTGTCTCTTTGTAATTTAAAATTTTTTATATCAAAAATTAATTTAAAAAATAATGGTATGTTTGGAAACGGCTTGACCGATTTTTATTATATTATTTTTTAACACCTAAGTGATAAAGGGTGTCTTTTATTTATTTCTTTATAATGTGGCATTAAAAATACATATAATCCTAAATTTTCACCTTTCTATCACCAACCCCTATTCTTAATAGCGATTTTAATTTATATGGCAAAACATCGTTTGCGGGCCAGCTAGTAATATATATAATTGTCATTTGGTTTGATAGAACTGTATTTGCTTACTTAGTATTCACGTAGGATTTATAAATATTTGCAAATATTGTATGTATACTTGTCAACATGTAATATATAATAATGCCATCTAGTCTCAATCTAAGCAGAGCTTGTGTTATGGATACTAGACAACTGATATAAATACCCCAATACCCTTTTCATACATTTTACTAATATTATAAACGCGAAAGTTTGTTAGTGTAGATGGATGTTTGTTACTCTTTCATGCAATAAGTACTGATCGGATTTTGATAAAACTTTACTATAATATAGCATCAGAATAACATATAGGTTATAAATATTAAGCGGCCAAAGTCGCGGGCACAGCTAGTACATAATATACATAGACAATACCCTACGAATGACTGATACGAACAATTACACAATTATATATATAGAAGCTTGTTAAAATGAAAAATTGCAGTAAAAATAAAATAACATATTTTAAATTTCTATAATAATATTTATTTTCTTTATGAAATAAAATAAATAGTTTTAATAAACGTAATTGTAACCAGACAATCCTCCAACTGTAACCGGGGACACCACTTCTATTGGCGCTGCGTAATTAGGGGCAACAACTTCACCCATAGTCGGCAATGTGTTACGCAACAGGTTGCTGACAACCAATAAGTTAGCAACCGTGCTGTCCTGGATTATTGTGGGTGAAGGCACAGTTACGGGGCTGGATAGTACTGTGTCTACGTGGCTTGGAACCTCGTAGTTGATTTTTAGTTGTAGTTGATGGGACTTTACAGTAATATAGCTTATACATCAGAATAACATATAGGTTATAAATATCAAGCGGGCACAGCTAGTATATAATACACGTACATAGACAATACCCTACGAACGACTGATACGAACAATTACACAATTATATATATAGAAGCTTGTTAAAATGAAAAATTGCAGTAAAAATAAAATAACATATTTTAAATTTCTATAATAATATTTATTTTCTTTATAAAATAAAATAAATAGTTTTAATAAACGTAATTGTAACCAGGCAGCCCTCCAACTGTAACCGGGGACACCACTTCTATTGGCGCTGCGTAATTAGGGGCAACAACTTCACCCATAGTCGGCAATGTGTTACGCAACAGGTTGCTGACAACCAATAAGTTAGCAACCGTGCTGTCCTGGATTATTGTGGGTGAAGGCACAGTTACGGGGCTGGATAGTACTGTGTCTACGTGGCTTGGAACCTCGTAGTTGATTTTTAGTTGTAGTTGATGGGACTTTACAGTAATATAGCTTATACATCAGAATAACATATAGGTTATAAATATCAAGCGGGCACAGCTAGTATATAATACACGTACATAGACAATACCCTACGAACGACTGATACGAACAATTACACAATTATATATATAGAAGCTTGTTAAAATGAAAAATTGCAGTAAAAATAAAATAACATATTTTAAATTTCTATAATAATATTTATTTTCTTTATAAAATAAAATAAATAGTTTTAATAAACGTAATTGTAACCAGGCAATCCTCCAACTGTAACCGGGGACACCACTTCTATTGGCGCTGCGTAATTAGGGGCAACAACTTCACCCATAGTCGGCAATGTGTTACGCAACAGGTTGCTGACAACCAATAATTGTAAGGCGTTCGCTAAATTGTTAGCAACCGTGCTGTCTTGGATTATTGTGGGTGAAGGCACAGTTACGAGGCTGGATAGTACTGTGTCTACGTAGCTTGGAACCTCGTAGTTGATTTTTAGTTGTAGTTGATGGGACTTTACAGTAATATAGCTTATACATCAGAATAACATATAGGTTATAAATATCAAGCGGGCACAGCTAGTACATAATACACGTACATAGACAATACCCTACGAACGACTGATACGAACAATTACACAATTATATATATAGAAGTTTGTTAAAATGAAAAATTTCAGTAAAAATGAAATAACATATTATAAATTTCTATAATAATATTTATTTTCTTTATAAAATAAAATAAATAGTTTTAATAAACGTAATTGTAACCAGGCAATCCTCCAACTGTAACCGGGGACACCACTTCTATTGGCGCTGCGTAATTAGGGGCAACAACTTCACCCATAGTCGGCAATGTGTTACGCAACAGGTTGCTGACAACCAATAAGTTAGCAACCGTGCTGTCCTGGATTATTGTGGGTGAAGGCACAGTTACGGGGCTGGATAGTACTGTGTCTACGTGGCTTGGAACCTCGTAGTTGATTTTTAGTTGTAGTTGATGGGACTTTACAGTAATATAGCTTATACATCAGAATAACATATAGGTTATAAATATCAAGCGGGCACAGCTAGTACATAATACACGTACATAGACAATACCCTACGAACGACTGATACGAACAATTACACAATTATATATATAGAAGTTTGTTAAAATGAAAAATTTCAGTAAAAATGAAATAACATATTATAAATTTCTATAATAATATTTATTTTCTTTATAAAATAAAATAAATAGTTTTAATAAACGTAATTGTAACCAGGCAGCCCTCCAACTGTAACCGGGGACACCACTTCTATTGGCGCTGCGTAATTAGGGGCAACAACTTCACCCATAGTCGGCAATGTGTTACGCAACAGGTTGCTGACAACCAATAATTGTAAGGCGTTCGCTAAATTGTTAGCAACCGTGCTGTCCTGGATTATTGTGGGTGAAGGCACAGTTACGGGGCTGGATAGTACTGTGTCTACGTAGCTTGGAACCTCGTAGTTGATTAGGTTAGGGGCAACCGGTATAAGGTTAGGAGCAAGTTGGTTCAGTAGTAGTTGATTAGGAATAATTGTTTCGCCTATTGGTAGTATGTTACCGATGTTTGGTATTACCCGATTCAGTACTTGGGTAAATGCCACCTGTAAAAAAAATAATTATTACTATAATTGAATATTTGAAAGTCATATGAAGAAATCATTATAATAGTAACACTGGACAATTCACTCAACGCCATCTAGTCCAAAACTATGCATTCGTTCATTATTAAAGAGCTGTGCTCTTGTCGGTGGAGCTCCCGCCACCTTCCACGATCTTCTATCAGTCTTTTTAGCTGTTGATACGACACGACTACAACTTCTTGATATAGCTGTGTCTTCATCCAAAACTAAGCATAGCTTATTTTTTGGATAGACAACTGATATAAATATGTACTTAGCTAGCTAAAGATCGTATTATGAATACTAGACAACTAATACAAATACATAGAAACATTTCTTTTCGTAAATATATATTATACATAGAAAACACCCAGACCGATACAAACAATGATACTCATGAATACAAATATCTGCACCATGCGAGGAAATGAACCCGCAACCATCGGAAGTAAAGCGGTGTGCTAAACCTTTAGACCATCGAGATCGTTATCTATACATATAAATAAAATTGGAGTGTCTGTTTGTAATATTGAAGTAACCGTTTTCTACTACATGAATATAAATATAAATACGATACACACACCAAAATAACATTTTTTTACAATTTTAGTCTGTCTGTCTGTTTGTTCCGGCTAATCTCTGAAATGGCTGAACTGATTTTGACGGGACTTTTTTTTGGCAGGTAGCAGGTACCTTTACTTTAGAAAAAATCTTTTATTTTTAGAAAAATGAAGTTAATTTTCACGCGGACGAAGTCGCGTGTACAGCTAGTATTATTTATGAATATTTTTTCTCTCTTTATTTATTTAGAAACTAGCTTATTAATTAATAATACTTACATTGAACATTACAATTTGAACAAAGAAAAATGCTATAGTCTTGGAAGCCATTTTGAAAATGTATCTACAAGTAATGGTTATATAATGAACATATATAATACATATATATACTATATATATCATCTAATTTGCTTAATAATCAGTTATTTCATGGTAATAAGAGTATCTGATAAGATATTGCGCAATACGAATGAGGAACGTGAGTTGAATTATAGATTCTATGAATATGTGTAAGATATAGAATTACAATGATTGTAAGTTACGATTATATACGTTACGTAATTTTGTATACCACAAAGGTGACAGCATACGGCCTATAGACGCCTGAAACACTAGGGGTGTCACATGTGCGTTGCCGACCCATATATTTTTATTAAACTTTTATATTGCAGTTTCCTAACATATCATTATCTTAGCGAACTCATATATGGGCATATATTTCTCATTTATTATGATGGAAGGCTGAAATGCTGATAAGCCAGGATGACAGAATAAATAGTAAATAATAACTCTGAAAAATTAATACAGCGCCATCTAGTCCTACTGTAAGCAGAGCTTGTGTAATAGAAATAGAAATAATCTTTATTCAAATAAACTCATTACAAGCACTTTTGAATAGTCATATTTTGATTCTACCACTCATTCGGAATGCAGATTCATCACAAGAAGAATGAGCAAGAAACTTGTGTGTTGCTCTTTTGAATAGATGTTTTTTTTATATAATAATTACAGTGTAACAAGTAAGAGACATGCGATTATCAACATAGAAATTGCTACGCACTCATTATTACTGTAATCAAATAATATTGTCAGTGCTATGGATTTTAAGTTTTTCTATAAAAACATTATTGTCGTTAACGAATTCTTTAATTTTATAGTAAGCTTTTTTGCAAAGGAAGTATTTTATATGACATTTAAATCTTTTTTCAGGCAGATTTATAACAGACTCTGATATTTCGTTGTAAAATCTTACGCAATTGCCATAAAACGAATTACTAACTTTAGTTAAACGACATTTAGGTAACTAAAGTTAGTAATTCGTTTGGGTACTAGACAACAACAACAAGGTACAACTGATATAAATATGTATTTAGCTAGCTAAAGATTATGTTATGGGTACTAGATAACTGATACAAATACATAGATATATTTTTTTTTTGTAATAATAATAATCTCAGGACAATTCACACAGCGCCATCTAGACTCAAGTAAAGCTAGTTAAAGCTTGTGTTATGGGTACTAGATAGCTGATACATACACATAGATATTTTTTTGTAAATACATACATATTCTATATAGAAAACACCCAGACCGATACAAACAATCATACTCATGAATACAAATGTTAATGCCGTGGGAGGAATCGAACCCGCGACCATCGGTCGTAAAGCGGTGCGCTGACCGCTAGACTACCAATGTCGTCAAATAAATTCAAAATTAAGGAGAATAGACTAACCACCAGCATATTCTATTGCAATTTTGTCAAAAGGATTTTTACTATTTTCATCATTGGAGAAAATAAATCGACATGAAAATTCAAACCTAATCTTTGGGGTCTATATTGGAGTAGTAAACACTGATCATTAAAAAATAATGTTATAGTGTTGTAATAATTTCTAAATGCAATTATTATTATATTACACAATAAAATGAAACCTATACGTTTTAGTGATAATAGAATCTCTCGAACTCTTTCGTAAAACATAGGAAACGTGCTATTTCATTGCTTGGATCACGTAGAATCAAAGAATTGTGGTCAGATAGACTTACACAAAAAAAAGTTACGTAATCTCGTAAATTAACTATTATTCAAAAGGTATTATTTTTAGAGCTACTTTTGACTAAAATTATAATAAAATATCTAATAATCTTTATTAATATTATAAAGCAGATAGTTTTTATTTTTGTAATGTTATTTGCCTTAGAGGAGGTACTTATGAAAAATGATAAAGACATGAAATAAGGGATGAAGGGATCTGTGGAAATCCGCCAATTTCAAAGTTATAAGCTCAAAATATCATATAGAAGTTTCTGGTTAGAAATAAATAGCATACGTAATTTATTTTATACGATTTTCTTTTTTAAATTCTAACCCCTAAGATGGTGAAATAGGGGTAAAACGTATTTCAAACTTTAGTAAAGTTTACGAGAAAAGTAATGACAATTTTCTACAATCCGCCCCGATTTTTGTCATTTAATGCTAACCATAGGGCTTCTAGAGTTACAAAAAAAAGTCGTCATCTTTAATGGGGTAAAGTTTTTTAGTAGAAAATGGTAACCCTTATGGGCACTACCGATATCTCGTAATTATGTGACTACTAGTTGTGTCCGCGGTTTCATTTGCGTGAAATTTATAGCCTATGTTTTATTCTGATGTATCTATAAGCTACATTGTTGTAAGGTTTCATTAAAATCTATTTAGTAGTTTTTGCGTGAAAGAGTAACGAACATCCATCCATACTCACAAACTTCTACGTTTATTATATTAGTAAGATGTACTACTAATGCATTACTATTTCTGAAGACCTAAATTACTATACCTCTGTAATTTGTAACTTCACTGCCTCATCTCAATCTTCACTCGAAATGATGCCGTTTCTAGTGCTAATGGTTTACTGGTAATGTATGGAGAATGATAAGATGAGCATGAGGTCAGGCCGTGGTAAATTCACCACGAATTTATCACGATGGTTTCCAGGAGGAGTCATTGAGGTGAACCTGACATAATACATTGCTAGCAATGTGGTTGTTAGTCCACATTACTAACAATTCCCACCCTCCCACAACGAGCTAACAGTTGATATAGGAGACAGAGATGATACTTCTCACTCTCCTATTTCAACTGTATATACTTCTTCTTCTTACTTCATACAAAGTCTTCCATGGTTCTACAAAATGTATATAGTATAATATTATTCAGGTTACGCTTACTCAAGTATGAAATTTAATAGGATAAAAAAGAAAAAGATAAAGTTAGCTATAAAGTTTTATTCATTGGGCTTAAATTAAAATAAATTATAATAATTATTCATATAGAAAATAGATCCATATTGTTATCAGATTGTAGTATAGACATATATGGAGATTGAAAGTCCATTTTCGGTGATCCATATGATGAGAATGGGTCTGAATATGGTGAACTTGGTGATAATGCTTCATATGGAGACATTAAGGTTAAACCTGTTCTGCCATTCATAGTACTCATCCCAGTATTAGGCGAAATAGCACTCACTATTGGATTAACATCAGCAAACCCTGATGAACCTAGGAAATTAGAATTTGGCATGGAATATGGTTGGTGCGATTCATACGTATTTTTAGTGTAGTAAGGTTGAGTTTGGACTGGTGGAGCTGGAGTTGTAGTTGGAGCAGGCTGGCTATATGTACTTGTAACAGGTGCGTAAGAGACAGATACAGGTGTCACTGGTTCTTTTGTTTCATACGCGGGAATAACAGGTGCTACTACCGGTTCAGGACTTGCTGCTTCTGACGGTGAAGAGTTTAACATCGTGTTTAATATCATCAATTGTAATGCAATTGCCATATTGTTTAATAATTCCATATCAACACTTAGTGATGCTTTTGTTTCAGCTTTAGTGACATCTGCTCTCATTGCTGCCAACATTGGAGAATCAAATGTTGGTGAGACTGTTGTAAGAACATTGGCTAAATCAGATAGAGATAACATAGGCGTGGTAGGTACTGTATTTTGATTGGTTGCAAACATTGGAGAAGCATGTTGGGATGTTTGCGTGCCTGCAGTAAGTAGATTCGCTAAAGCAGACAGTGATGACATGTTAGGTATTGGAGATACTTTTTGATTTGTTGCCAATATTGGTGATGCGTGATCTAAAGATGATGCTGTAGCAATAAGATTGGCCAGGCCAGATAGCGATACAATATTAGGTGTTGATATTGCATTCTGACTTCCTAAGTTAATAGGCGATTTTGTTAGCCCTGACGAAGAGGGAGGCACGCCTGTTACAACATACCGTTTTACTGGCTGTGTCTGTATTGATACCTGGAATAGAAAGAAAATATATTAGGATAAAATGTTATACAAAATATTTATAAATAAGTAGTGTAATGAACTTCGTACTACGAAAAACAAAATCAATTCTTAGTCACTTTCTTGACACATTCCTTTAGATTTGATTTTCAAAATCAACTTGAATTTGACTACTATGATATTTCTAATTAAACCCATACGAAATAATTCAAATGAAAAAATAATTAATTTAGTAAATCTGTTTTGTGGAAATTTTATAATAAATACAAATGAACTGAGAACCGAAAAAAAATCGCTCCAGAAAATCTATACACGTACTTCAGATTATAAATTTAGAAACCGAAATTAACTTTATTCAAATAAAACTAATTTTAATATGTCTATGAAACCTCTGACTAACCAGTCTGGAACAATAGTCGTAATGGTATATTACCGTATTTATTATTGTAAAAAGATATTAACTGTATTTACCTGAATTACTAAACAATTTACTATTAAAATAAAATATATTCGTTTTACTTTTAGACCCATTTTAGTTCAAAGATCTATAAAATTGATATGAGCATATTTTATTAGATTCCTTTCTCATATAGTTTCGTTATTATCAAGATTTAAGTAATATTATTTATCTATGAGTTAATTTGTGTTGTGTAAAATATTGATAAATTGTATAATTTCAATATTATACTTTACTAGTGGTACCCGCGTCTTCATTCACATGTGAATACACAATAGAAATAGAAATCTTTATTCAAATAAACTTAATATAAGCACTTTTAAATAGTATTTTCTTAAATTCTATCACTCATTCAGAACGTAGACTCATCACAAGAAGAATGAAAGCGAAACTTGCGTGTTGCTCTTTTAAATAAATGTTGTTCAGAATTAAATTTTTGAGAATTTTGTGTGGAATTAAATTGATACAATCAATTAATATTGTGAACAATAATACATTGCCGTCTACTATACATTTTAATAATAACAAATTAATTAGCAATTGCAGATGTGTATCTGAAATTATTTGAGTATATATTCGTAAGATTTCTTTTCCCTATATGATGAGCCATATTTAAAAGCACATTCTGTGAAAATTTCATACTATATATTCTAGCTATTTCCCTTAAACTTAGACCCGGGTCAACAACTCTCGGAAACTGCTCTGAGTAAATCCGTGGAATGCTAAAAAGTTCGTCTCTACGAGAAACAATAAAACTAACAAAACATGCAAACATTCAGATAAACAGACAAATATTTTTCGCCTCGTCATGATTTTATTATATATAAAGAAAAAAGATAACTTCCTTTACAATAATATTTAGCAATATATCTGTAATTGTAGATAACAGACCTATGTACAGATTTGTCTGTGAAATACATATATAATATGTTTCTGTCAACGGGTGATAAGATGACAATTTCAGGCATGACATCCTAGCCCTACAGAATGGTAATACATGAATGGTATCCGGGACGTCACATGATAACGTGATGTCCGTAGTGTTGTTAATGTCATCATCATCATCATCATTAGCCCACTGTCCACTGTTGGACTCTCCCAAGGCACGCCACTAGACACGATCTTCAGCTCTTCTCTTCTAGTTATTACCCGCAACCCTACGTATGTCGTCATTTCACCTAGCTGCGCGGTGTCCTACACTACGTTTGCCAATTCGCGGTCTCCACTCTAGAACACGCCTACTCCAGCTTGCATCGGTTCTGCGACAGACTTGATCATCCCACTGCCATTCAACTAAAAGATTCGAAGAGCTATGTCGGTGACTTTAGTTCTCTGGCGAATTACTTCGTTTCAGATTTTATCCCTCAGAGAAATTCCAAGTATAGCTATTTTCAAAGCCCGTTGAACGACCTTGAGTTGGTGGACCAGTCGTATCGTCAGTACGTTTTATACTACGTTTCGGCACCGTAAGTCAAAACGGGTAGGACACTCCGATTATATATACAGTTGTTCACGTATATGCTGAAAATTCTCTCTGACCAAGCCATGTTCATGTTATCTGGGGTCGGGTCTCTCTGTACATCTGCGCCAGACTACTCTGTTCTGGATTGTGAGTACTAAGGTGGTCCTGGTCCATCCGCTTCTTAATATTGTTCCACCAAGAGGTGAGTGGTCTGCCACTAACTCTGGTCAAGTTTAGTATTGATCATTTTCTTAACCACATAGTAGGAGTTGTCTTCGCGTCTTTGGATATGGCATACTGTGAGAATTACATAAAAAATATAATTTTCACTAAATGCCACAACATCCAAAGAATGGTATATGATGAAAATTACATTTAATTAATAATAATAAGCTTTAAGGGTAAGGTATTTATCTTTTTATTTATTTTTAAATTTATATACATTATACAATAACGTTCATTATGATTATACATTAGAATCCCGTATTAGGTGAATCTGTATCGCAGTAGTCCACAAAATAATTGCCAGATGTTATTAAAGTAGAATAGAATAGAAAATCCTTTGTTCAAATAAACTTAATTTAAGAACTTTTGAATAGTAATCGTATTTTTTAATCTACCGCGCATTCGGATTCGCTCACATTAACTGCTACATATTATAACATTCTGTATTACATAAATCTATATAAATCAAAATATTTTGATCTGGTTTGAAAAACATACGACGATTTTATATTTTCTTTTTTTATATATTTATAAGTTTCTATTAACAAAATCATACATAGTAGTACGTAGTTCTATATTTCTTTCTATTTACTAACTTTATATTGCATGCATCTACAAAATTTTGTTTTTAAGCGTACAAAGTGTTGGATTACAATCCAGTTTTGTACCAAATTACTCGCTCCTAAACAAATTCTTGAAATTGAATTTGAATTAATAGTTAATTATAAGAGCCCTCGATGGTCTAGCGGTTTAGAACACCGCCTTACTTCCGATAGACGCGGGTTCGATTCCTCGCATGGTGTTAACTTTGTATTCATGAGTATGATTGTTTGTATCGGTCTGAGTGTTTTCTATATATAATTTGTATGTATTTACAAAAAATATACTTATCTATGTATTTGTATCAGTTCTGTAGTACAGATAACACAAGCGTTAGCTAGTTTAACTTGGGACTAGATGGCACTATGTGAATTGATCTTCCATTATTATTATAAGTTTTACACAATTTAAAAAAAATAGTTCTTATCTTTCAATTTAAGAATTATTGAAATTTTGAATGAAGTCTTTTCTTACTAGTACAATGACCTCTAGAAATGCTATATTTTCCCTGCTTTTACAACATTTTCCATTATTGCTCCACTACTATTGGTTATACCGTGATGTAGCCTACAACCTTTCTGTAAAAAAGCTCGTAGCTCCTGAGCTTTCAACCAAATCAAAAAACTGATTCTTCAAGCTTTATCACATTAGTATAGATAATATTATTACTATTAGTATAGTATAGTTTTTAATGAAACTATCAAGTTAGATAAACAAATAGCCATTGTTGAGCTGGTAGACTTGCTGCTCTAGTGGCTTATTACATCGCTTTACATTGTTTTACGAGGGTTTGAATCTGTGATTCCCAAAGTTGTCTATATCGACCCCCAGGGGTCTGTGACAAACTACAAGGGGTCATCTTGTTGTTTTTACTTTATGTTTTTAACACTAAACTTTACTACAATTAGAAATTTACAAAAAATCAATACCAGGTAAGAATGGGGGTCTACCAAAAAACCGAAAAATTTGACCTTAAAAAGTTTGGGAACCTCTGGTTTGAAACCTCGCACGATGCAAACACTCGTATTCATGAGTATCAATGTCTCTAATGACTTAGATATTTTCTATGTATGTATCTATACACTCTTATTCGTGAGTATGATTATCTGTATTAATCTGGGTGTTTTCTATGTAATGTTTATATTACTACAAAAAAAGTATTTTTGTATCTGTATCAGTTGTTTAGCACCCATAACATAAGCTCTGTTTACCGTGGGACTAGATGTCGCTGTGTTTTGTCCAGGATTGTTATTATCAGGGATGTTATGGATATGAAATTTCGGATACGGATAGGGTTCGGATATAGGAATGATTATTATACCGAATATGAAACTATTTCATATTATCCGTTTGTTTCGGATAATTTAGATAGATAGATAGATAGATAGATAAAAATCTTTATTCGTATCCCGATAACAAAGATAGTACAAACAAAATTCAAATAACACATAAGAATAGTAAATAATTATAAAAAAAAAAAATACAACACATAATACTTTAACTTCCACATAAAATAAAAAACATAAAATAAACATTAAAATATATATTAGGTGCCACAGGGATACGAAAGGGTTGAGCTACTCAGTGAACAATTTGCTCAGCGAGCAAAACACTGATTTTCAGTAGCAGCCCAGTGGTGGTGCGATCGCGTGCAGCGACATATTCACTCAACAATCTTAATGTTACCAAAATTTAAATTAAACTAATTCTTAATAAAAATAATAGAAGAAAAAAATAATAAAATAAATAAATCAAAATGTATCAATATCAATATCAATTCAAATACAAATAACTGTTGACGCAGACCATTACCTAAGCGACCAAAGGCTTTCAAAAAATAATAATAATATATCAATGCTAGGAATTGTCTAGTAGAAAAAGTTTTATCTTTTTCTTAAATACCTGTTTTGAAGTTTCGGTTACGGATATTAATTTTTTAAGGTATTTTGAAAAGGAAAATGCAAATAACTAATAAAATGGTTACATAACGTGTCTCAGGCTCCGCCCCTATCCGATATTATCCGAAACTCTTATTTCGGATTCGGTTACGGTTACGAAGCTCCCTAACATTCCTGGTTATTATAAAGTAACACATCAGAAAATCATACAACAGTGATTATTAGATAAATAAATTTTATTTAAATAAATTAATTACAATAAATAAATATATTAATTTATACAATGACGGGATTTCTACAATTACATTGTCCGTGAACTCCAACTAAACCGGATAAGAGAGATAACAATTCCTCATATGTAGCAGCGTTAGAATTTACAACATTCGGTTTTGTAGGTAACGATCTCGTTATTAGAGTATTAGAAACCGTGTTAGCTAACCCATTAGCATTGCTAATAATACTGGACACTGTATTTGGAGATATATAACTCTTGGTATAAGAATTTGGCGTTATTTTCACAGTAGAACAAACTGGACATGTGCAAATGGTAGCTGCGATTTCGTTGACCAAAGGTGGTGCTATTTTGTTGAATATAGGTTTTTTATGACAGTTGTGGGCGAAATTGTCGAGTATAACTCCTTGAAGGGTTGATGCGAAGTTTTTGCAGAGGAAGTCGCTGTCCGCGGCAGATAGTGTAGGAATTTGCTGTGGTCCAAGAACATTTGTTATGGGTATGGATGGTGGGTATGGCAGGATGTGTTGTGCTGTTATTGCCTGAAAAAAATAACAATATATGGGTTATAATAAAAGGTACCAACGCAGAAATCGGGTACAATACTTATAAATACAACTTTTATCAAAAAAATAAGAAAATAAATAAAAATCTAATCCTAAATCTTAATAATATTATAAACGCTAAAGTTCGTGAATATGGATGTTTGTTACTCTTCCACGCAAAAATTTGAAAAAAAAATATTACTGAACGGATTTTGATGAAACTTTACAGTAATGTACATTATATATCAGAATAACACATAGGCTATAATTTAAAAAGATAAATATTTGAATTGGGCGAAATATGCTGATAAAAGTCAAGTAAGCGTCACGCAGACGAAGTTGCGTTGGTCAGTTAGTACTTTTTCATTTTAGAATAACTGCACTATATTTGGATAGTCGTTTTTGTTATTTTTGTAATTGACAGAAATAGGTTTGTATGAAAATAAAATGTTTAAGAAATCGCACAGAGTAATGATTATACAGAGTTTGATAAAATGATTTTAGTTAATTAGAATAGAAGAGAATTACATTACACATTATCACAACACTACAATGATGATGCTGACAACAACATATAAACGGAAAGAAAACAATGCATTAAATTGGATATAAATTCGCTGTTTGAAATTTCACATATTCTTTTTTGTTTTTCAATTACTTGATGCGATTTTAGTAGGCAGGCAAAGGTGTCTCAACTATAAAGCTTTAATATTTTTTCTACACTGTCGTAAAACTTTATTTTTTTAATTTTATTAAATTTAATCGTACCTTGAATAATAATACCGCGAGAAATGTGACTTTAAACGTCATATTGGTGTGATTAAAATATTTGTTATCTGTAAATGCATATGATGAGCTGTGTTCTTATATATACTATCTAATCTTAACATCTGTTCTGTAACATATATCTCTCGTCGTGTTATATCTCAATAAAGTACAATCATTTTGAAACTAATTATCTTGTTTTATCGATTATTGAATTGAATTGAGATTTATATTTTAAAGAGTAAGGTTTTTATATCTGTTTAATAATTTATCATCGTATTATTGTGCATATATCATAAATGTAAATATATATATGAATGGAAATTTTGTTATTTATTGTTATATTAGGGACTCGTTCCCGTTTCTTACTATCTTTACAAATTATTATTCTCATTACAAATCTTGGAATTTTACTGTACTTGTCCGTCTTTGCTGTACTTTCGATTAGCTTTAAAATTTGGTTTGTTTGACAAGGGATTGTTGGCTGCCTTTGGAGCTCCTTCCCCGTAAGTTTTTTTTAGAAATTTCTAGCATATTTACAACAAAAATATGAAATTAGTTCAATGATATTTCTAAATCGATATGATATTAAAACCTTCAAGAAAAGAGCTTCATCATCACCGTATTTTGCCTTTATCGTATTATTTCGGGTCAGTGTAATATCTATATGTATATAATCATAACAGATCCCTATATGCCGTCATATTTCAGTTTACTGTAGCTTATTCCACCTTATATAGTTGGTGTGTGATGATGTACTACTCAATGAACAAATTATTTGAGCCTAAATAAATTAGTGCTGATTGGTAGTTTGTATTCACACGTTTCGACTTGTAAAATGTGAACTTACAAGGATTGTTTAAAAGAGCAACACACAAGTTTCTTGCTTATTCTTCTTGTGATGAGACAGCTTTCCGAATAAGCGGTAGATTTAAAAAAATGTTGACTATTCAAAAGTGCTTAAATTAAGTTTATTTGAATAAATGATTTTCTATTCTATTCTAATGTGTGGCGACCGTGATACCACCCATGTGCTAGACTACCATTTCTTACCCTATAATTAGGTGTTAACTCCGCCATATGTACTCTTTACTTATGTATGACTTGCATTTATTATAGGTTGTTTAAATAAATAAATATATATATTTTATATCATAGGGGACAAAAAGCTTTCGCCTCAACTGATAGTAAGTGATGAGTAACTTACCCGAAATACCAGAGGAATTACAAGTGTGTTGCCGGCATTTTAAGAAGGAATAAGCTCTTTTCTTGAAGGTTTTAATATCGTATCGGTTAGAAATATTATTGCTGGAAGGTGATTCCACAATGTAGGCAAAAGATTTCTCTGAATTATCACAATCTTCAACTAAAACACTTACAAAGCAAGCTGCTCGGCGGCTGAAATAGGTGAAGTGGTATCCACTTCTTTTTAGTTAGTTCTACTTTTCCTTTAATCATAATCTCTTTCTTTTCTTCAAACTTTCCATGTATATGTGTATTATTAAATTTATGTATGTCTATGTAGGTATGTTTATATTTATATATATTTGTATGTATAATTTATATATTAATTGTATTGTTGTGAACCACCTACTCTTTTTTCATATCTTCATCGTCTAGCTAAAGGTTGTCTGTAATAGATTACTCAGCGATAAGAGCTCCTTTTGTACTTATGACTGTATTATATACATATTTTCATGTTAATTTATATGTTTCTGTATCTAGTGCTATAAATTGTTTTAATAATAAATAAATGGTATTGTTGAAATAGTATAAATTAGCTATAACTATGTTTATCACAATTCTGTGAAACTACAATTGTGTCATAGCCACGTATATAGGTTATATTTAGTATATAAAGTGAAACAGTAGGTCAACAATACATGTTGTACAATCACTAGGTCACAATGGTAACCACCTACATTCTATTGGCTATAGCCGCAGTTTTGTGTCAGGTAAATTTATTAATTAATTAACTATGTCCACTATTTTATCCGCATGAAATTTATAGCCTATAGGTTATTCTCATGTATAAGCTATATTATTCTAGATTGTATGTATTTCGCTCAATTTACATAATATATTTTTAAATTAGAGTCTATGTATTACATATTCTGATGTATAAACTATATTACTGTAAAGTTCATCAAAATCTGTTTAGTATTTTTTGCCCGGAAGAGTAAACAAGTAACAATATTGATAATATTATTTTTAATCACCATTTCTTTTGATCACAAAAATGTGATTTACTTTGTTCATGTTTATTTACCATAGTCGGATTTTGTACTAAGTCATCTGCGTGGATCTGGCCTATTTCTATTGCCATTTTTCCAAAATTTATTTGTTTTAGATACTCGTATGTGGCAGTGAAATTGCGATATACTGAGGAATACGAAATATTTTAGTCCTCAGGAATAATAATTTATGGTCATCACAATTTATTTTGGGTGTCCATAATCCAAATAATTATTAAAAACAAACTCCACAAAAATAAAAACCTATGTTTAGTGAAGGACTTTCAGATCTGAGATAATAAAGACTATGATAAATAAATAGCAAACAACCTAAAAACTATTAATACAAAGCATACTAAGATTTCTTTTTAAATTTCAGGCGCAGTCCCAAATCTGCAACTGTCCAAACTTAGTAGTACCACAACCTATTACAATACCAGCGATTACTCCTGTACCGTTAATCACTACGACTGTCGTTGACAATAGTGTTGCAAACTCTCTGGCTAATGCCCTCCAACTGCTTATTGTTAGCGAGCTCATTGGAAACTCTCTAAATCCTGCACCTGTCTTATTACCTGGTCATATTGGACCTATTTATGATGCTATTGGTAATATAGGTACAACCGTAGTAGAAGTCGCCCCCGTGGTAGATGTAATATCGCCGTGTGTAGATATAGAGCCTGTGTTCCCTGTTGTTGATGTTATACCTTATCCAACAATTGAGGTAGCACCAGCGCCTGTCGTGGAAGTAACAAGTAACGTAATCAGTACAGTTACGGAGATTTCCCCAGGTTTGCCAGTCACATCTAATGTCTATGGAACAAGTGTAACAGAAATTTTGAACCCATTTGCTTATCCTCCTCTTTATGGAGGCATACCAGAAGTTGTAGGACCAGTTGCTACCGCTTATCCTAATATTTATGGTGGATATACTGAAGTAATTGCACCTGTAGCACCAATTACAGAAGTGATAGCACCTATACCTCCTGTAGAGATCGTAAACCCTATACTTCCGTATCCACCTACTGTACCTTTGGCTCCTAATGTCTATAATAGATTTATAGACATAGTACCATTTCCTCCAGGTTACGTGACAGAAATTACTGAAGTGACTAGACCTATTCCAGAAGTTGTAGCTCCAGCTGTACCTTTGCCTTATATTCCTGATTACTATCCAGGAATTCCAGAACTTTTACCCCCTCTATGTCCTTTGTCGTATTCAGCGGAAATTACATTTCCTAAATCAATTCCAGCACAACTGAAATATAAATGTCCCTGTGATTTAGTTCCACCTTTCCGTGATATTGTATATTAGATTACCTAGTTACAAGAACATCATCATGAGTCATCCTTAAATTACGTTACAAATTAAGCAGTAAGGAGGGAGTTGAGAAGAAGAAGACAAGATCTGGAAGGAGTAATACATTTCTTAACGTTCTCATTTCAAACTCTACATTTTATTAATAAATTGAAATAAAAATTAGTTCCGATACTCCTAATAGTTCACTATTCATTTCTAACACTGGGGAAAAAAACTCACACAATTGTAAGGAACTGTGATGTAATTTATGTATGGCCCATGTTAAGCCATATAAATGTGCATTCCATACATAATAACGAAATGTTATAGAATGGACTCATGATGGTATGTATAAAAAAGGTTTTAAGTTGCATGTTGATGGTTTTTGTTTTTATGCTCCATGTTATTTTATTCTTAATACAATAAAAATGCATTTAATGAATATTTTTGTTTTTTTTTATTATAATTTGTTAATAAGTACTTACTTATAAGAATAATTTACTTTAGCATCTGTACCTTATTTAAAACAAAAGTGATGATTTCAGAAATTAAAACTCCTGTAATTAAGATTACAATAAAAAATATTTTAAATTTTTAGACAATATATTGCTGAATAAATTAACAAAATTTATTTTAATCACTTAATTGACAATAGACTCTGCAACAAATTACCCGAAAGTAAAAACGGTGATACAGGTGAAACAGGGTTAGTAAGTTCTGAAATGACGTTAGTAGGAGTAACAACACTAGGCGGAATTACTGTAGGAGAAACTACTCTAGGAGAAACGACGTTAGTTGCGAACGGATTTGCACAACCACAAGACAATACTGGAGATGTGAATAGTTCGTTTATAATTGGACTAGCTAATTGCAATGCAAGTTCCGATCCACCATTGGTATTTTGCAGTAAATTGCAAACGATCATCAATTGTAGAGTGTTTGCTAAGTTTTTGCAGGCTGTTGGTGAACAATCCGTGATGATAGTGGTGGATGATGGTGACGGAAGTGGTAGAGGTATATGAGCATCGCATGGTGCTTCAACGATCGGTGGTAGAGTAGGCTGGACGACGTAATGTTTTAGTGCTTCAATGACTTCTGGCAATTGTCGATTTAAAATGTTGTACTGCATTGGACTTTGTGATAAGATGATCTGAAAGAGAAAATTATTCTTTGAAACTTCTTTATGAAATCATATTTAAAATACCTCTGGATAATTCATACAACGCCATCTAGTGACAAGCTAGTAGCAGTATGATAAGTTATTGGTATTAAATACATTTTTTTGTAAGTACATTCATAATACACATACATAAAACACTCAGACCGATACAAACAATCGTACTCATGAATACAAAACCTTCTACCATACGAGGAAAGGAACCAGTGACCATTGGACGGTGTAATAAACAGACATACTTCCCACGTCGTCAAAATAAATAAAATAAACCCAAAATTCAAGTCTGGACTCTGATTTGATTATTGAACAATAAGATACCAAAGGATATATTGGAATTACCCTTAAATAAATTCATAACATCTGTTAAATCATATTTACTGAGCAGGCCTATTACTCACTAAACGATTACTTGAATGACGAGCGTGCATGGCAATAGTTTTCATGTTCGGGATTTTCATTTAATGTTAGACATAGACACCTATATAAATACCTATGCATTGTAAATAAACTGGATTTAAAAAAAAAGTAATTCAATTGAGTTTCATTGCCAGTTCTTTTCAATTGGATCTATATACCGAACTGGACGGTAGGGAAAAAAATTATAATGTAAAAACTTGACGTTCATAAGCGGCTAAAATGTCCTACATGAATAAATGATTTTTGAATTTGAATTTGAACACTAGGCTACGAAGCTATAATCGAGCTTCATTAAATGTCTGATGATGCCTCATTTACAGGCAAAACACGTGTCGCAATATACGTGTAGATTCAATAACTGAGCTTGATGACTAATTGGGAAGGTAACGCTTTCAGCACTGAATATTTGTAGTCTCACGCATGCTAATGGTAACGGATATTAACAAAGTAATATAAATACATTAAGTAATTAAAAGTACTTCCTCAAAATAACACTTAATTCAATGAAATATACCAAGTTTAAAGACAAAAAACATAAAGTTTTTTTTAGCTGTCGGCAAGATTTTGTTCTAACGATCATTCACATAAGAAGAAAAGGAATTATTAGTAACTAGCTGCCCCGCGCGACTTCGTCTGCACCACATTTATTATTATACTATCTGAACCGGCAAGCGTTGTTTTGCCTTAAAATAAAAAAAAAATTAGGGGTGGACTACCCCTAACATTTAGGGGGATGAAAAATAGATGTTGGCCGATTCTCAGACCTACTCAATACGTTCACAAAATTTAATGAGAATCGGTCAAGCCGTTTCGGAGGAGTATAGGAACGAAAACTGTGACACGAGAATTTTATATATAAGATATCGCCCAATTTATATAATATATTTTTAAATTATAGCATATATGATACTTTACACCCTTAAGGGTAAAATTTTTACATACTTTGAATGTTATATTTATTCTTATTTAATCAACAGCCTCAAAAATCAGATTCAAGCTTTTAGCTTCAAAAATGACGATTCTTCCATACAATCTTTCATCCTCACTTTCAACCCCTTACAACCCTTTTTTCGCATTCAAGAGTAGCCTATCCTATATCCTTTCTCAGGCTATCTGTGTACCAAATTTCATTTAAATCGGTTCAGTAGTTTTGACGTGAAAGCGAGACAGATAGACAGACAGACAGAGTTACTTTTGCATTTATAATATTAGTAAGGATGACCAATAACATGATTGCTAGCAATGTACTATATCAGCTTGACCTCTACGTGGTTCCCCCGAGAAACTATAGTGATAAATTGCGGGTAAATTTACCACGATGGACTAACTGACATGACCTCATGCTCATCTTGACCTCCACTGGTGCCTCGCCGGGTGTAAGTACCCGTAATAAACACTAGCTCGCTCTACCCAATTTTTTAATTTAACATAATATTTTCAGTCAATTATCTAATGAAATTTGTAATATAAAAATCAATTAAAAAATAACATATATTTAAAAGAGCAACACACAAGTTTCTTGCTCATTCTTCTTGTAATGAATCTGCGTTCCGAATGAGTGGTAGAATACAAAATAAGATTATTACTAAAAGTGCTTGTACTAAGTTTATTTGAATAAAGATTATTTCTATTTTAACTTCTAATTAAAATTTTTGGCGTAAATGTTAATGTAACATAATCTGCATGACATTTTTACAGCTATATACTATAAATATAAAAAAATGTAATACTAGCTGTGCCAACGGTTTCACCCGCATGAAATTTATACCCTATATATTATTCTGATGTATAGGCTATATTACTGTAAAGTTTCATCAAAATCCGTTCAGTAGTTTTTGCGTGACAGAGTAACAAACATACATCCATACTCACAAACTTTCGCGTTTATATATTAGTAAGGTTATGAACAACTGGTTGTTTAATATGTTTGAACTCACCTGAAAGTGTATGGCAAGAAAGCAGAACCCAACTAATTGAGTTCGTTTCATTTTGTAAGTTAATCAAGCACAGATTAATTAATATCAGATAGAAAATTTCTTTTTATTTTTTAATATCAATTCTGACACTTCTAACACTAGTGTAGTCTTATTTAAATGTTTAAATATAACATTCAATATTTATATATATATATAACTTATATATTATCAGTCTATCTGTTTATTGATAAATTGCTATTGGTTATAAAGCAACTTTCTTAGAAGTGATATAGTGATAGTTATTCAGTGATTAAGAAATAATTATCAAATGCAATATTTTATAATAATGTTCATAATGTAGTTTGCAAATACATCAAAATGAGGCAATGATTTTCATGATTGTATTGGCGTTGCATTTTTTCTATTTACCTGGGCGTTAATTTATTACTGTTAGGTTTGAATGACTAATTATTGATATTAAAAGGCCTCTTCTTAACTGGACTGTTGTAACTATCCGTTTCATTCGAGGATTCCCTTGTGTTTTATTTTCACTACAATTCACACAGCGTCATCTAGATCCAAGTTAAGCTAGCTAAAAAGTTCGTGTCATGGGTAGGTACTAGATAACTGATACAAATGCATAGACATAAATATTTATTTTCGTAAATATATACGTATAATACATAGAAAGTCCAGACCGATACAAACAATTATACTCATGAATACAAATGTTTGTGCCGTGCGAGGAATCAAACCCGCGACCAATCGGATGTAAGGCGGTATGCTAAACCGCTAGACCACCGAGGCCGTCTGAAAGGTAAAGTAAAAAGGTTCAAATTCTGTGTTTAATTTAGTACCTTTCTTTTTACCGCCAAATCCAAATTATCTTTCAAATCTTATATTATCTTTCGAAAAACGTCCTTTAGCCGATTTATTTTGAGTAATAATAATGTAAGTAGAGTAAAAGTAATAACACGGGACAATTCTTACAGCGAAACAGAGCTTCTAGTATAAGTTCATTTCTTTTATTAAGAAATGAAGAAATGAAAATGAATTTGGTTTGGCTTATAGTAACCGATTACTATAATGACAAACGTGCATGGTAATTAAAAAAAAATCAGGTAAGTTTCTTGCCAGTTCTTCTCAATCGAATCTGTATAATTAACTGAACGGTAAGTAAAAATATTAATAATGTTAAAATCCTACATGAATAATTTATTTTTTATTTAATTTGATTATCCATAATCTACTTAATAATAAAGATACATTCGTCACATATACCATTAAATATCAGAGTCTAATTGATGTAATATATATATATAAACACCTCTTTGGGCACTTTGTTGATCACGCCACAACCTACACACTTGCTGATTCCACCTTTTGCACTGAATAACTTGACTCCTATCGCGTATATCTCAGGCGGTATGGCAACGTCGCATTCTATTTTGCGATGTGGCCATATATATTCGTCGATAGTACGATATACTCGACACTTTTTTTACTAATAATTCGTGACTGAATGGCTCCGAACGGCTAAATTTTTGGTATACACAAAGACTTTTTGGCTCTGAATATATTCCAAAAATCAATTAATTATGTTGATCACTTTATATACTCGTCCTTACTGCGATACTTACTTTCATCCGAATATATATAAATACCGTAACGGTCTATCAATTATGAATTTATTAATTTACTAATGTAGATATTTTATATTCGCAATGCTCCATACATGCAAGCTCCAGCAACGGTGGAGGCAGGGTCCCCCCTGCACCGTACACCGCACCCCGCGCACACAAACAAATTAGATATTTTTTGAATACACAAAGACTTTTTGGCTCTGTATATATATTTCAAAAATCAGTTAATTGTGTTGATCACTTTATATACTGGTCCTTACTGCGATACTTATTTTAATCCGAATATATATAGATACCGTAACGGTCTATCAATTATGAATTTACTAATCTAGATATTTTATATTCGCAATGCTCCATACATGCAAGCTCCAGCAACGGTGGAGGCAGGGGGAGCACCGTACACCGCACCCCGCGCACATAAACAAATTAGAATAAATTAAATTCATAAGATTATTTATATATTTCGACTGCCTCGGTGGTCACACCGCTTTACATCCGATGGTCGCGGGTTCGATTTCTCGCACGATGCAAACATTTGTACTCATCGGTCATCGATTGTTTTCATCGGTCTGGGTGTTTTATATGTATATTATATATGTATTTACAAAATAAAAATATCTATTTATATCAGTTCAGTATCAGTCTGTGTTAATTGTCCAGGGTTATTTATTATATTTTTATAAACGGTTATCTTTTTCCATCGCACCGCTCGCTATCGACAGTGAATTCATAGAAATGTCACTCTAAAAACAAAAATAGTTTTGTGTTTTGTATTTCAAATACTAAATGCAAAATAGGTATTTTCAAAATACTTTTTAAAAATTAAGTACCTTTTGAATTTTTGTCCAAACCTCAGATATTTTATTTATTTTAGGTATATCAATAATTACATAGTAATATAAAAACAAAGTCGCTGTCGCATCTAACAGTACATAAACAAAGAAAGAAGACTTTGGCTCTGATACCGTAACGGCCTATGAATTATGAATTTATTATACCTAATCTAGATATTTTATATTCGCAATGCTACGTACATTGTAATATCCGCCTCCATTCATTGTAACGGTGGAGGGACTAAATAGTTGAATAAAACTGAATAAGCAGTTGCTCCACTCTATAGGTACTGCGTCGTCGTCGTATGCTGTTCATTTTTTCACTCGTTTTGGCGCCAAGAGAGGGTCACATAGTCGTGGTCAAGTTAAGAACTTATAATTTAATTTTGATAACAATAGATACAAGTAAAAAGTAGGTATTATATTAATGTACGTAAGTACTGTACTTAAAAATATTTATTCTTTATTGTACATTTGAAAAACTTAACACTTAAGGACTTGTACATATACACGTACATACTGCCATTTTCTCTTAAAGACATCCAGAGAAGCACTATTTATCAAATACGCGGGGTGCACCGACCTTTGACCTTATAACACCTGATTCGCGCGTAACGAATTACATTGCTACTTTTTGGTATTTTATAGTGGATATGTCACTATAAAATATTATTATTTCTTTAGATTATGACATAATAACATAGTTTACATGATTTTAAGGGAAACATACGATAAAAAAAATCCCGTAAAATGTAAAAGATAAAAAATGGTTATTGTTGGTTATCCTTAAGAGATAGACATATACCATCACGGACTTTTTTGTTGACCTTATTTTGATACATCTCAAAGCACTAGACAACACGCATTTTCATTAAACAGTATTGTATTTTTTTATTTCTTTAACTTTAATGCACAAAAAAATTTGTACATGTGGCGGACTTAATATTTTGCCGCGTTATTTACCAGGCAACCATGAGTGGTGCAGAGAAAGATTATTGGCGGTGCACTAATATAAATAAGAAATGTCAAAAAAAGATTTATAAAGATAATAAAGATAAGCAAAATATACATTTCTATAAAAAATAACAGTATACATACATAAATATATATGTAAATATAACCCATAAATGTATAAATATTATATATAAGTAAATACATAATGATCCGATAATCAAATTATAAGTACAGTCTCAAATTGAAAGTAAGAAAAACAGAAAATATAGAGAGAACTATATGGATATAACAGAAAGATGTGAAAAAAGGAGAAGGACAGTAAAAAAGTTACAAATTTAAATAATGTTCCCGCAATTTCTGTTTAAATGAATTTATTACATTATTATATATATTAGGCATACGACTAGCCTTATGACTGTTACTTTTTTTTAATCTATACATCTATACATGTAAATAAAATTGGAGTTTCTGTTTGTAATATTGAAATAACCGTTTTTTACTACTTGCATATGAATATAAATACGGTACATACACCAAAATAACATATTTTACAAGTTTTGTCTGTCTGTCTGTCTGTTTGTTCCGGCTAATCTCTGAAATAGCTGGACCGATTTTGACGGGACTTTTTTTGGCAAGTAGCTGATGTAATAAGGAGTAACTTACGCTACTGTTATTTTAGAAAAATAAAATAAAATTTCACGCGGACGAAGTCGCTGGGGTCAGCTAGTCTATAGATATACCGAGATTTAATGTTTAAGTTGCTATTATGTTGTTGACAAAATTTTACTGTAATGTTACTATTACGTTATCCTACACAATTTGTATTATTTTGGATGAATAAATAAATAAATAAATAATAATCTATACATCTATACATTTAATAAAAATTGGAGTGTCTGTTTGTAATATAGAAAAAACCGTTTTTTACTACATGCATATGAATATATATAAGGTACATATACCAAAATAACAATTTTTATAATTTTTGTCTGTCTGTCCGTCGGTCTGTTTGTTCCGGCTAATCTCTGAAATGGCTGGACCGATTTTGACGGGACTTTTTTTGGCAGGTAGCTGATGTAATAAGGAGTAACTTAGGCTACTTTTATTTTAGAAAAATAAAGTTAAAAACCACGTGGACGAAGTCGCGGGAACAGCTAGTGTATAATATATTAGAGATACCTACGTGTTTTTTTATTGATGACTAGCTGTACACGGGATTTCGTCCGTGTTGAATTTAACTTTATTTTTCTAAAATATAAGAAGTTAAATTCCACGCGGACGAAGTCGCGTGTACAGCTAGTTGTCGGTAGTCTAGCGATTTAGCTAGCACACTGCTTTGATTCCTGCTTGGTGGTCGAGGGTTCGATTCCTCGCACGCTGCAAACATTTGTATTCATGAGTATGATTGTTTGTAACGGTCTGGGTGTTTTCTATGTATAGATAATATATATGTATTTACGAAAAAAAATCTTTGTATTTATATCAGTACCCATAACATAATCTTCAGCTAGCTTAACTTGGGTCTAGATGAAGCTGTGTGAATTGTCCTGAGATTACTATTATTACTATAATAAATCTTTTCAAATCAGCCGATGTTTATTTTTGCCATAATACGTGCTGTTACCATGTGATAATATTACGT